AAAACATTCTTTAGAGTTGATCACATTTACTTGACCCAAATTAATCTAGGTTTAGTTTTTATTGTAAGCCAGGGGGTGGGTGGGTTGTGGTTGCCGCCTTCTCAACAAACACGCTGCATAGTTTTATTGTAATGCATGAATTCATCTCCGCAGCTAATGTTGGTTGTTCAGCCTAGTTAAAAACTAAAGTTCTTTGCCTCTTAGCACAAAACCCAACAGAACTGGAGCATTTATTATAAAGTCTCATTGAAGAAAAATGAATCCAGTCTCCTGTGCATTGATGGTGTTAAAAGCGAAGTCGTACTACAAAAGCAATCCATATTTTGCAACCAATCTTTAATAAGACAATGAGTCTACACCGGGGTTTCACAACCTAGGTGATATCGCACACCAGCGGGTGATGTCAAGTGTTGGGTGGGTGATGAGCAACTGAGCGAAAAATGGTGTGTAATTGGAAATTTTGGTGGGTGATTTTGGGTATTTAAAAATGTATTTCAACATATGGTACTTGAAAAAATATATTCAAAAAAGATATGCAAAGAATAAAACAGGAGTCTAATTGGGAATAATTGGGTCACATTCCTAGATAAGATATAAATAGCCCTACAAACAATTTGGTATTTTCTATAGTTTTGAGAAGGATCATTAACATTCAAATAGTTCTTCAGATGAAATAACACTTTTTTTTTCAGATATATATATATATCAGAAAAGAGAAGACCAAGAACAACAAAAAATATTCACTGAATTTTTTCTTAGTTGCTAGTAGTGTATATTCTTTTTAATTTTATATTTATGAACAAAATAACCATAAAACTAACCTTGACCCAAAAACGAAATTATAGATATAGCATTTTCAATTGCCAAGTTTGCTTTCTTTAATATGGTAGTAGCAGTAGTAGCAGCCACATAAGTCAGTGTTATCTGTTATCTCCCTTTGGTATTTTTTTACTACATGATAAAGTCAGTTTATGAACCAGTAACAAAACGTTGCAAATGATCATGGAAATAGTATGGGAAGTTCTTCCAAATGTATCAAATATTCCAGATCAATACTCTTCTGACCATCACTCCATACAATATCCTTTATGAGTTAGCGCTATTAACAAGTTAAAGACATGGGACAGATTATACTGGTTTACAACAGAGAGTGATCCCTAATCTGACCTATTAGAAGTGGAAGCCGTCCCTCATAGAAGTTTAAGTCCTGGTTGATTGTTTCCTAGACTAGTTATCCACCAAGGCTAGAGGACCCAGTCAACTCTACTGTTTCTCCAAAGCTGTCAGAGTAGTGGATCCAGGCTTACTGCTGGTTGACGTGAGAATGGTTTAGCAACTGATGCCATGGAAAATTGAGCAGCAATTATTTTTTTTATTTATTTTTAAAAACAAAAATGAAAATCAATTCTTTTTAACTTTATTTTCATAGATTAAAATGAAAATACATTTTTACATTATTTTAGAAAATGATATTTAAAATTCATTTTTACTTTATTTTTAACAACTAAAATTTAAATCACTTTTTGAGTTTGTTTTTGAAAACTAAAATGAAAATTTTTTTAGTTTATTTTTTAAAAGCTAATATGAAATTAGATTTTTTACTTTATTTTTAAATACCATAATGAAAATTCCCTTTTTAGTTTATTTCTAATGCCTAAAATTAAATTCTATTTTTTTGCTTCATTTTTAAATACTGTAACGAAATTTATTTTGCTTCATTTTTTTAAATACTATAATAAACAATTTTTATTTTAGTTTTGAAAACTATAATGAAAATTCATTTTTTTTTAAAAACGGAAATGAAAATCTATTTTATTTTATCTTATTCATATATTTTATTAATAATACGTTGTCGCATAATGGATATTGGCTTGCAATGAGAAATTGGAGAGTCGAGTTTGAATTCCAGTCGAGTTTGTTACATTCACTTATGTGCAAATACACATGAGAAAGGTATGTATCTCTTCTATGACTTGAATAGCAGGACAGGTTGGATCCTATAGCCTTGGTTGGCAACTAGTCTACAGCAAAAAGAAACAGCTACTGCAGAAAAATCTGCCTTGTCAGTCATGAATTGAAAGATACATGATCACCTAAGCGTCGCTTAACTGCCTGAACATATCTGTAAATTGTGTTTTACAGATTAGGGATGGAACTGAATGATTTTACTTCTTTGTTGATTTGATCCCTTAGGAGGATTAAGTTCTTAATGCAGACTGATTCCAGATTGTTTGGATTTCTTTGATATATATATATAGAGAGAGAGATAAGGCACAGTCGAGTAGTTGATAGTGGATATGTATATATGAATTATGACTTTTTAGTAACCCTATGTTCCTGTATCATAAACAAATTAATTTTTGTTCAAAAGTAATGAAAAAGGAATTAATTTGTTTTAGTTCTTGTAAAAGGTCATCCTCAAATTGAAAATTCGATTTTACCATATATGCAATTCTTATTTTATGTGCTGTGTCCTTCAGGGCGTAGGTGTTTCTGGGCTTCCACCTTCACCTGTCTCTTGTAGCTCATAATAAGTTTTGTCTTTTTGTTATTTCTCCAAGACTCTGTTCCAACATCCTTTTGCACAAGCGCATTAAGTATGTCATGTGTTGCTTTCCCTTATCCCTCTATCAGTCCTGTGAGTATCAGATTTTCCAAGCCCTCCTTCCTCATTATGTGTCCCAGAAATTTCAGCTTCCTCTTCCTGGTGTCAAGTATAAATTTTATTTCTCTTTCCATTTTCTTCAAAACCTCATTATTGCTCACATGTTCAGCCCATGGTATCCTCAGCATCCCTCTGCAGAACCACATTTTCACTGCTTTGAGTCTCTTCTTCATCTTTAAGGAGATTGCGAAGTGTTTGCTGCCATACAGGCGGACAGATATCATGTAACAGTTCAGTACTCTTTTCTTTGTTTCTGATTAAACTTTCCTGTCTCTTAATACTCTGCTTAGGTTTTGGAATGCATCTTTGGCCATCCCAATATATCTTCGGATCTCAGTGTCGCACTTTCTGACTTCTGTTAGAACAGTTCCCAGATATTTAAATTTCTGTTCCTGTTTCTGTAAGAAGACACATCCTTGCCTTATGCCCCTTTCTATTTTTGTATATCTACTGAACTCATTTTTTATCCGTATGCAGGCCGTTTGCTGCCAGTAGAAGTTTTTTTATTATTCTAATGTCTTTTCCAAATATGTCAAGGTTGCTGTGCAGCTCTAACAGATCTTTGTGGCATACTTTGTTGAACATCATTCCGTAGTCTATAAAACATAGGTGCACGTCCTTCTGCATTTGTATTGCTCTTTCTGATAACATTATGAGCATGAATATCATGTTCTTTGTTCTGGTGTCTTTAACGGACCTGCACTGTTCTTATCCAATCTCTGGCCTGATTCTGCTGTGTACGCTTTTCATCAGAAATTGGATGGTGAGTTTTGTTATGTGGCTCATTAATGTTTCAAAAGCTTTATTTTTCAATTTTCAAATAATGTAATTGGATAGTACTTATGTATTTTTAACACATTTAAAAGTTTACAGCATAACATGCAAACTGACAAATAAACAAAAATAAGTACTAGAAGGTTTCATAAAGTTCCAGAGTGCTCCAGGAAGTTCTAGAAGGCTTCAGAATGTCATAGAACTACTATACTTATATACGATTTTAGAAATTTCATGTTGAGGGAGACTTTTTTTTTTTTAAATAAACTGAATTAAACCCTTCATTTTTATTTAAAAAAAGTTTGTTGAATTATGTTACAAAAAATAGAAACACAAAAGACACTTAGAATCAGAAAGAGACAGTTGAAATTTGACACTAATAGGACATACTGAAAAAGAGGTGTAAAGGGAAACATTGAATAACCTACCTGACAAATTTGTATAAATTTATGGAAGAACAAGAAGTAGGGGGTTTAAGAGCACAAACATTGCTTACAGCTAAAAAGAATGGGAATTATGGCGAGCCATTATCGACCATGTTCTTAATTACATAGCACATACAAGAATCTCAATAAAAGCAAAACCAAATGAAACAAACAAATTATTTAATGGCAGTAACTCAAAAACAAAACTTTGAATTACCTCCCTTAAATAACTCTTAAGTTTTTTGCTGGAGGAAACTTATACTTAACTTCAGGAAGAAACAGTTGAAATTTCTGTGGCATGTCATGAGGAAGGAGGGCTTGGGAAATCTGATACTCACAGGACAGATTGATGGAAAGAGGAAAGCAGTGCTTAACATACTTGGTGGGTTTTCTGATTCATGATCACCCAAGTTTATTTGCACATAAATGAATAGACCAGACTGGAATTTGAACTTGGGTCTCTGATTTCGCATTATGAGACATCAATTACACCACCAGCACATCCAAGTTGGCAGCACTTTGTATTATTAAGGTGTCACTCATCTAGATACTGATCAGGCTCTGTTTTGCTTAACTTTTCTGTTATCAAAACTGAAAAATTCTTTAAAAAATTAAACAAATCTATACGATATAAGCAGCATCAGGATTCAATGGGTTAAAAGCGGAAAATGTAAATATAAATCTTCAACTTTTTTTATTATAATCTATCAAAACAAGAAACAAAAAAAGAGTTTTAATAATTTAATGATTTTCATTTGAACTCTTTCATAAAATGTCCACTTGAAAAGCATCCAATCAGTAATCACATTTCAGAAACAAAGGTTTTAAAAAAGAATAAACACCAACAGTTTTGTAATGGATAAGACATATTGTTGTCTGGTGTTGACCAAAATTATTATAAGATTGTCACTATTTCAAGAATTATTTTCACTCATTTCTTACTATTGGCTGGTGTGTTCTTCAAAATTCCTCTGGTTTGTGCAGCATCCAATAATCCTTGAATGTCATTTTGACATGGAAGATTTCATTAATAAGATTAATATCCTCATCTTTACACATTTTTAGCTGGTATGTTCTTCATCCTTCCTCCACAGTATGTTACATCAAGTATTTGTGAAATGGGAATCGCAACTTTATTAGTCATTTTTGGTTATGCGAGGAAATTTTTTGCTTGTTTTTTTGAACTTTGCTTTCAGTTTGTTGTAAAGCATGTCCGTAATTAACACAGTGACGATAAGATTCTCTTGACTTGAATCTGGAACGGCTGATAAAATGGTCGCCTCCTTTTCCAACCATCTGAAATTTTGGAGAAAAATTTAGTAAAACAAAAGAGAAAAAAATATCACATTTGTCGTCTAAATGGTTCCAGTTTTAAAATCTTATCAAACATTCTGTAGAAACATTCTATAGTGTGTGTGTATGTATGTGTGTATAAGATAATGTATGTGCAATATATTATATTTTTTGTGAAGGACTAGGGACAGCAAACTCAAGAGACACTCTGGGCAGCACACACTCTAGCTATACCACTGAAAGAAGATATAGGTCAGTTAGACATAAGTTGTGTTTATACCTAACTTTATGATATGTCTACATTTCTGAGATCAGGTATTGTAATTATTTACATTGTTCAGACTGGTGTCTTCATCTTTATTGTCATATTCACAATGTTTTGGCTGAAGAAGGCTAGAGTGTACAACAGCCAAAATGTTGTAAATATAGCAATAAAGATGAGGACAACAGTCCAAACAATGTAAATAATGCCAACTTTATGAGTATCCATTCAGAGGATATCCTTGCCATATTTTGAGCCCTGCCAACAGGACAACTTACTATAGTTAATCTTATCTCACACACACACGCATATATATGGGAAATAGTACTTAGTTTGTGCCAATATGTTTCGACATTTGACTTTATCAAGGCAATTGATGATAAGCAAAAACTAAAACACACTCTTAATAAAAAAAACCCATAAAACTAATATCTAAAAAGAGGCTTACACAGGAGTGTCTTTTTAAAATTTTTGAATTTCATGTAACTATACAACATTTCGCTTTTGTTTATCATCATCATTTGCCTTCATAGAGTCAATGATGAAACATGTCGGTAAGGACTATTTTCTGATTGTCTATTTTATTCAATTTGTCTTCTCTACAAATTTATTGTGAGAACTTTAACACACAGACACACACACACACACACACACATATATATATATATATATATATATATATATATATATTTTCATGTTTCATTAAATAATATAGACAAGTGTTGTCTATTTATTTTATGTAAATTCTTTTCATAACGTCTGATAAGCTTAATTAAGCTTATCAGATATTATGAAAAGAATTAGAATAAGCTTATCAGACATTATGAAAAGAATTTACATAAAATAGACAACACTTGTCTATATTATTTAATGAAACATGTATGAATGAAAAAATGCTGCCTAAATACACACATATATATATATAAGGAGGACGTTGTTTCTCAACATAAGAGTCCAGCAGCTGAGTTCTTAGAAACAAAGAGCCAAACTACTCATACATATGATTTGATTATCATGGTGAAGGCTTGTGCAGAACCAACTATACTTTTTGGAAGAGCCAAATCAAATAAAAGCAGAATACTCTCTGGGTCATTTCATACCAAAGCTGGTGTTATTGTGGTTTGGTACTGCATTAATTGTACTCCCCACTGACCATGGGGCCCAATTGGGGGGAAGCAACTAAGGAAGGAAATTCATTTACTTTTTCACCACCAGGTTTACACAGTTAATATATTTCCATGAAGAGGGTGTTCTGGGCACTTGAATGTTTCTATACCTTTATTGCATAGAAGGTTGTTTACTACCCTAAATCATGTGATGACACAAATGAAAAAAATACTAACAAACGGTACATCCTTGTACTATATTTGATACCGTCAGATTATTATGACTGGAATATGTTTTAGTAGATATCATTATTTAATAATATGAAGATCATCATCATTATTATTATTATTAAAATGCTTGGTTACATACACTCACCTCTTTTATGGTGCAAAAAGGTTGCACAAATATTCAAGTCTTACAGATAAAGAGAAAATACATTTTTTAAAAACAGTTTTTATGTTTTTTTCACTTTAATCATATTCAAAAACTGTAAAAACAATATTTTTTTTTTTTTTACTAATTTTCACCCAATACAAAGCCCAAGAGCCACTCAAGTTAGAGGATTACCATGTGTGTTGTATGAGCATAAGAAAAGGCAAGAAGTTAAGTTTTTGGCGCTATGCAGGAAAGAACAGTTAACACTAGACTTGAAGAAGACAAGATTATAGTGATTGGGAAAACATCCTGCCAGGAGCTTGTTACAAAAGCATCAGTTCTTGGGAAGAAGTCCCCTGAATGGAACTTCTTACTATAGGATTTATTGATTTGTTTTTTATGGCTCATTTGCAGGTTATTTAAAGCCAGAAAACATTTTTAGATTGTAAGAAGTTTTTTTTTTGAGATAATAATGATTTAGTGATACAAGGTTTATTAATTAACCCATAAGTTGGGGGGTGATAAAAGGTGAATTCATACCTTTCCCAAGGGTATTAACATGTAAGTGAATATAACGAATCTAAATGGAATTGGAACTTGGCTCTCTGATTAACAATTCTAAGTCATTATCTATTACACCATCTCCACATCCAAACTTAAAACACCTGATATTCCCAAGTGGTCACTCATCTAGATACTGACCAGGCTCAACATTACTTAACTTGATGTGGCTGTAAGCACTTAGTATAGGAATATGAACAAAGAGAATGGGGATGATTGACCCTTGTGTAAGGGGCATGGTGGGATCCAGTTGTAAAAGTCAGGGGTGGTGTTACTAAAGAATTTAGCTCGTCAGAACACTAGCCGTGCAAATAGTGACTCATTTAGATTATAAAAAAATAAAGAGAAAAATGAAATAAAACAAATGCAGCGTCCCTAAATTTTATATTTTTTAACAGTAGGATACTTTCGGAAGCATTCCAAGCAAATAGATTTGAGCATAGTTTTTTTTTTCATCAAGTTTCTGCCATTTTTTTGTCTCTTTTCTCTTTCAGAAGTTTGCATGCCAACATTTTGTTTTCCTACAGTAAGGTTCACTCTTTACAAGGCTCATGGGCCACATGAGGTAGATGTTTACATTAGGGGGCAATTTATGCAGATAGGGTTGGAAGATGATGGTTAACCCTAGCCTTGAACAGTTTAAGATTGTAGTGATCAGGGGAAACATCTTGAGAGTTGGTTTCACAGAGCAGTTGTTCACAGGAAGAAGCTGATTGAATGGAACTTACTTGGAACACAGATGGCATACTTAGGGAATGTGGGGGGTTTGCTACTATGAAAATGGCATGTCCTTGCTATTAAGGTTTGAATTGGCAGAACCAGGGAATGTAGTTCATCCAAGCACTTTCCATAGAAGTAGCAACAGAATAACAAGAGTCTTTCCACATTCCACCTTTGGGAGAGAGGTTGGAGAGTGGAGAATAATTTGTCAGCCATAAGGCCTTGGAGACCCTTTTGGACTCTATCAAGGCTGAAGAGTGAGGTTTGGGCAGCTCCTGCCCAAATATCACAACAGTACTCCATTTTTGGTCTGATCTGGCTCTTGTAAAGGTAGAGGATAGCATGTGGAGTCAGGTACTTACCAGTGCAGTACAGGAAGCCAACCATTTTACGTGAATCCTTAGCAATGGATCATATGTATGAGTTCTACTTGAGGTCAGATGCGAGTTTGAGGCCCGATAGTCTTTCAGGGAACACTGAAGAATCATCCATTCATTTTGATTGGTGGCAGTTCAGAGTCTGATCAGCAATGATGGAATAGCACTATATTTGGCTTGCACTTCCAGCTTTATTTACAGGCATTTTTTTTTAATCAATTCACCCCAAGCAAGGCAATAATGCCACTAAGACACAGGGGCTACCGGGAGTGAAAGATAATGAGACTTTAGAAGGAACTGAAAACCCAATCCTAAATAGGAAACAAGGGATAAACCTCTATTCCTGTTCAAAAGACCAGGGAGGAATGTGAGCTGAACAATAGGTGAACCTATTGACTTCTATTGAGGAAAAAAATAAATGCTGAATAATGTTTCAGAGTTTAGGCAGAGATGTCTGAAGTATTGTGTTGAAGTAAACTTTAGAAGTAACCAGAAACCCAATCCTAAACAGGAAACATGGGATAAGCCTCTTTACTCCTGTTCAAAAGACCAGGGAGGAGTGTGAACCGGATGATAGGCAAACCTAACTACTCCTATTAAATACTCCAGGAAATAACATAACCTTATGAATCCTAGAGTTGCCAATTAGTCATTTAGACTTGAATCATAATTGAATGATGCTTGTATTAGAAACATTTTCAATTAATATCCACCAATAATTTTCAATTAATATCCACCAATGATTAATGATATCCACCAATCTTCAATGAGGCAGCAATTGAGGATGCCCAATATTTAAGTGTTAAGTAAGAGAAACATAAAAGAAATATATATAAATCGCCATAAGGAATGAACTCACTGTAGTAATGGACTTCCTTGGAAGATACGGAATTTTCTCTGTTTCCACATTGTTGTAGACAGTAGAGCTTCTTGAATAATCATCTTGAGATCAGGTATGCCTTGACCACTGACAGCATTTGTCAAGAGGGTATTTTTGGAGCTAGTTTCAATCTCTTGTCTGAAAATATAACATTCATTATAAATTACCACTCTTATTTTCTGATTAATGTCCTGTATGGACATCCATATTTACAAAAATCAGTACATTTATACATGCACAAAAAAGTTCAAAATTCATTTTAAAATACTGAGGTTTGCTGAATTGTAGTAAGCATTTCTATTTATGATTAGTAAATATAGTTTTTACTTAATAACAATATCACCTAACCAGTACAAATTAATACAGAATTTTGAAAGATTTAAAATTTTGTAAATTATTCTAATTAAAATTTTAAAGAAATGTAAACAATTCTTGTAAAAATTCAGTATTCATTGAAAAATATTTATTTTTTAAGACAATAGTGTTTGTGATATATCTTGTTCATTAATGCAATAGTTTTATTGCATTTTTTATTTTACAATTCAGAACAAATTTTTGGTAACTGGGGTCCTGTTTTATAAAAGAAAATTGATAATTTAAATTGATAATTTAAATTCTCCAAGGACTTATGCTTATAACTAATATAAACATTAAGTCCTACAAAAAAGAATTTATGAAAATTTCATAAAATTAAATAAGTGGGGAGTGGTAAAAGATGTCAAAAAAAAAAGAAAAAAAAAAGAATATTTTACCATGCTTCTGTAAAAATGAAACATTTCTAAAATAATCTCATTCATTTGTGAATAAGTCCTGAAAGTTTCATTAAAATCCAACAATTATTTGATTTTTGTAAGAATTTCCAAATCAATGTGTTTTTCACTACAAAAAAGACACTAAAATTTCCTATACTAATTTATGGTCACCTACTGATGCAAAGAAAAAAATTTTAATGAAAATTTTGAAGGTCCTTAAAAGATTAAAAAATATAATTTAATAATCAAAAATTCCTTTGGTCTTTCCTTTTAATATTAGCATAAAGATTTTGATGATAAAATTTTGTTTTTATTAAGTTTGTGGGATTTTTCATCATTTTTTAATGAATTTTTTAAAGAATATATATATATATATATATATATATATATATATATATATATATATATATATATATATATATATATACACACACACACACACACACACACACACAGTACAACTTCTCTAAACTAAACATCCAAGATATTCGGTATTGAGGGTACTGTTTGGATCCAAAGAAGAAAAGGCAGCTGTAGCAAGCTTAAAATTTACATTAAGTTTAGGATATAAAAAGTAGTTTGTAATGTTGATTCATTTTTATTTAAAGTGTAGATTGAATATATAAATGTACAAAAAATATTTTACCACAAATAGTAATGAAAAATTTTGTGCCAAACAAATATGGTAATTTGTAAAAAACTAAGACACTTTATGAAATGTTTAAAAATTTATGAAATATCTTATTCAAAAACAATTACAATCTGTAAAGGAAGTCAAAAATAAGGATATACAGTACAACTCCTCTAAACCAAACATCCGAGATGATTGGTATTGAGAGTACTGTTCTAATTTGAGGAAGAAAAGGCTTCATATTTATATCAATACAAAAGTTTTGAACTGAAGATGAGTCCAAATTTGAGGAAGGCTAATTCAAGATTATGTTATGTTTGGATTTAGGGAGTTCTACTGTATGTATGTATGTGTTATGGTCATCTACTGGTGCAAAGAAAAATAATTTTAACCAAAATTTTGAAGGTCCTAAAAAGGATTAAAAAATATAATTTAGTAATTAATTTAGTAACCTTTGGTCTTTCGTCTTAATAACAAAGATTTTGATGATAAAATTTTGTTTTTATTAAGTTTGTGGCATCTTTTCATCATGATATGTTCATTTTATAGGGAATCTTTGAAGGTATGTATGTATGTATGTATGTATGTATCTATCTATCTATATATATATATATATATATATATATATAAATAAATAATATCAATTAATGATTAGTAGTGATAATTTCAAGGAGGATATATAAATCCAAAGAGAGCTCAATGTAAGAACAGAGTAATATGGATTCTGTATTATTTTATTTATATTATATATATATATATATATATATATATATATATATATATATATATATATATATATATATATATATATATATATATAAAAGGATGCATGGTGGAGTAATGGATAATGGCTCAGCTTGAGAAATCAGAGAGCCAAGTTCAAATTCCAGTTGAATCCATTACATTCGCTTATGTGCTAATGCTCTTGGGAAAGGTATGAATCCTCTTCTTCTCCCTCCATCTATGGGTAAATAGCTAGACAGACTGGGTTCTATAGGAGAAGGACAACTCTGAATTCAAAACCTGTGGAGGGTCGTTTAGGGACCTTGTGGCACGTAGTGCATCAGGTCTGTATATGGCCCTTCAAAAAGTGTGGATGGTTCTGCACAAAACCTTCACCACTATAATCAAATCACATGTGCTGGTGTCTGGCTGTCGGTTCCAAGGAACTGAGCTGCTTGCCCCTCATACGTCAAATATGATGGGAGAGTTGAATATATATATATATATATATATATATATATATATATATGAATGAATTATTATCATTCTTGTTTAGTTGAATGAAAATGATGGTTTTATTGTCAAGTCTATTTGTAATATCTTTATTGGATTGGAGATTTTGGCGGCTTTATTTTTAAGAAATTTAAACCCTAACGAATGGCATTGAATGGCATATTCCAGCCACAATGATTTACATTTAGTCAAACTCCGTCATGCAGACATGGCACGGTAGTCTTTAAATGTGTGTGTGTATGTATGTATGTATAAACCTTTGGCTCCAGTAAGAAGCTCATCCATCCCTTTGAAAGGTTTTGTTTTTTTGTCCTGTGAGTTTACATGCCACCCTCCTTACCAGTAGAAAAGCTATTGGGGGAGCTGGTTTAGATGCCAAACAACATGATGCAGGTTGTACTGGGTTACATGTTACCAGTAGGAAGCCTAAGCATGACATGACCAACAATCCATCATTAAAAATCAAGATATGGAATTAATAAATACTAAACACTTACTTCGGTGTATGGATCAGTTAGGAAAATATTAGTGCAGGAGATAAGGAAATTGAACACAGAATAGACTGTGCTAGAGGCAGTTTCATCTGACACCACAACTTGCTACAAAACCAAAACAACAGCCTAAAAACTCAAGATATATTCTTAAATAGCCTCATTAAATTGAGACTTTTATATGGATATCATGCATGATTCCAAAATCATTCAGAAATATCTAAACTGTTAGCTGTATACAACTGATTTTTCAAATCAATGGTTAAAAATGTCTTTGCAAGAATGAAGCCTGTCGGTCTTAGCATGGACAATCATTCTCCAAACTTCATGGACTGGTGTTACAGAATCACAGACAATGGACTATACCAGATAGCAGCAACCATATCACTTGAGAACTTTCAACAACAGCAACAACTGAAATGGATATCATGTGGAACTCAAAGAGAAAATAATGAAATAACCAAGATGTAGACATTCCACACTATTTTAAACAAAAGGTTAGGAAGGAAACTCACATCAATAACACTTACTGGTCTTTAAAAACATATTTTCCTGAAAAATTCTTTCAATACAAAGTTGCTATAACTTTCAACCAAAGGTAGCACTGACTGTTTGGTCAATGAAAGTCGAATGAAATGGCTAATATTAACATTACCATTGTTAATGATGCTGACTCTTGTGGTCCTACCAAGGATTGAACTCACCATCCTTGGCTAACAAATTTCTGATGATATTAGACTCCTAATCCTCAGCTTAAAGGATGTGTTCTAAGCAGTGGCAGTAGCAGGCTTGTCTCCCTTCCTGCCAAAGTAGATTTAACTTTTGGGCATTATTTCCGTTTACTGAAATTTCTCCTATAGGAAAAAGTTTTCTACAGTCTGGTGACGTGCTGTCACTCAGTTTATTAATCAAGATCCTGTTTTATTAGAAAAACCACCCTGATCCACACAAAAGATCCATTCAAATGCTTTATTTAGTCAGTCATGTTCTTAAATAACCTTGTCCGATCAAGACTTTCATATGGATGTCATGTATAGTGCCAAACTTGTTCAGAAATATCTGAACTGTCAACTTTCTCAGATCAATGATTAAAAAGGGCTTCAAGCAAATGAAGCCTGTAGGTCTTAGTAAGGACTATCCATCTTTGAAACTCATGAACTTGAATACTAAAATTGATAGCACTCAAAGAGTAAATAACAACATAATGAAGATGTCACCATCCCACAATTTATGACTTATCAACCCATTACAGGTTATTTAAAGCCAAAAAATATTTTTAGATTATAAGAATTTTTTTGGAGATAATGATTTACTGATACTACTGAGGTAGATTTCAATACCTCGCTTTTGGAGAGTTGAGTTACTAAAGGGAAATAATTGAAACTGAATATCCAGAAAAGTCATGGCTTGTGGAACTAGAACAATCTACTCTAATGGATTAAATAAAGCGTTTGGTTTGAAATTCTAGCATATATCATCTGAAGAAGGCCACAGCATACAATGGCTGAATTGTAAATATGACAATAAAGATGAGGACAACAGTCTGAATAATATAGTGTAAATAGTTACAATACCTCATTTCAGAAATATAGAAAGATCCTGAAGAAGGCTGGAGTGTACAATGGTCAAAACGTCATGAATATGACAATAAAGATGAGGACAACAGTCTGACCAACATAGTGTAAATAGTTACAATACCTCATTTCAGAAATATAGGCAGATCCTGAAGAAGGCCTGAGCGTACAATGGCCGAAATGTCATGAAGATGACAATAAAGATGATATTCAATATAAATAGTATAAATAGTTACAATATCTCATTTCAGAAATATAGACAGATCCTGAAGAAGGCCAGAGTGTACAATGGTGAAACATCGTGAATATGACAATAATGATGAGGACAACAATCCGTACAATATAGTGTAAATAGTTAATAGTTAAAACAAAATCATAATAAACCATCAGATAAAATTATAAAAAGTGACTGAAAGTTTAAATCTTATAGTTGTAAACTTTTTTGGGATTTGGACAAAAAAAAAAAGAAAAAGAAAAGAAGTTGGAAAGTTTTGCTGCCAAAATCAATTTGGTAATAAAGTTATAGCAATTATTCAGAAACAAAATATAATGTTTACTTACCCGGTAGGTAATAAATCTACTTTGTTGTATACTTCAATCATGTTTTTAAGCTGATCTGAAGACACCATTGTATTAAGAGTCTGGTGAACATTTGCATTCTGAGCTTTGGTGTCATTGTGGCTAATGTCTCGGACATGGATCAACAAATCCTGATAGTAAAACAAATTTAATAAAAACTAAATAAAAGCAACAAAATTAATCACAATATTTGAGTCCATAAAATAATCTAATGACAATTATTTATGTCATGGGGTGGCTAGGCATCCCTGTCAACAGTAAATCAATAACATTTTCATTGATTTTTATCAAAGTTTCTAATGATCATTGGCACAGCAAAATCAAGATTAAATGGAAATCCAACAATTTAGACAGACAATGGAAAGTGTAGCACAGAAATCTGAAAGTGAATAGGAATAATAAAAGACACTTTTCAAAGAATGTCATTAGAAAGGAAGAAAAAAGTGTTGGATTAAAAGTGTTTTATAAAGTTAGCTGATATTTTATCAACTGTTCCAGTAAACAATATAATAGTGTAAATAAACAATCTAATATATAAATAGCATTATTTTTGTTATCAATCCTCAAGAACAAAGAAAATGTAAAAATTCTCTTTCATACGTTAAGGTTTCATTGCAATTCTAATCATTGTTTTTTTTTTAAACAATAAACATTGCCAAGGAGTGAAGGTAGTTAATAATGGTGTCAAGGGAAAAAAATGTCCTTTTTAAAACTGATTTTTTTTTTGTGGGCACGAAGGTCCAATTTTGCCTAGTTTTCTCTTCTTTACTAAATTATTAAAATATGTGAACCAACTATAAGGAAATCCTTATTATTTACCATTTTATAAAGTTCAAATTGATTGGCAATTAGGATTTCACTCCCAATAGCCCATCGTGTTTTGGCATTATTGCTTGATTGTAGTTAATTAAAAAAATGCATTTAGTCATGACATGAGGCAAGTAATTGTAAATGAAAATCTTTTGATAGAGGCTTTAAAACCTTTTTTAAATCATGAATAGGAATGTGCTAATATTCTTTTTATTGAAAATGAATGCATAGAGTACAATTTTTAAAGTCAGATAAAACTTACACTGGATATGAAAATTAATAAGAACATTTCCATGCAAAATTATTCAAGTTGATTCAATCAAAATATTTAAATAAAAATAAAGATATGATTTTTATAAAAATCACACTAAAATTTAACTAATTTTGTTTCTTAAGGTTTTTTTATAAAATCCAAAAAAGACTCTGCAATGTTATTGATCCTGACCTGGCATCACTGGCACCTGCTAGTATCCAAGCATAGGTATCGTCATCCTCTTTTCTTATTCCTTTTCTCCCCTCTGGTGGCAATGACGGAGATGACTGTGAAGGCCCAGCCTACACCTGAAGAGTTTTGGTTGTCGATGTGGTTGGACAAGTCGAGCCCTCCTGACAGCAGGTTGCAGATCCTCTTCATGTTGACAGTTGAACATGTAAGTCTTGGTACATCCTCAGATGGTCCTTTGACAGATAGGCTGATTTGCAGCAATAGTTTCCCAGGATTCAGGGTCGATGTTGATCTGTGTCAACTGATCTTTGAAGCATTGTTTTGGATCCCTGCATAGCCTCTCAATGCTGTAGCATAGATTCCCTGTGTCTTTTTTAGAAATATTTTCATGGTAATTGTTCTGATGAACTTTCCTCTATGGTACCCAGACTTTATGAATTTAAGTGCAGTACTAGACTGGTAGCAAGATCTCATCAATTTATAGTTGAAATGGCTAAATGTAACTGAAAGTCCTAAGCTAACAGTTTCTTCTATTGTTCTTCTCACTTATGGAATTCTCTTCTGGTTTCTTGCTTTCCAGTCAATTTTGATCTTCAAAAATTTAAATGCAATGTCAATCATTATCTTCTGTCTTCTTCATCATTTTTCTTTTATTGTCCTCTCTCTTTAATTTTAGGTTTTCTCATATTCTCCAAGACTCAGTAACCTCTTGCATCCTAGTGGCTTTATTGTTTTGCTTGGGGGGGGGGGAATGATTAAAAAAAATAATATTATAAATTCTGAATTAAAAAAAAAAAGATGATTTTTTAGTTTTTGCATAACTTCAGACAGCAGATTTTTTTTTATAATAAATCCAATAACTTTAATAAACATGTTGAAACTAGCTAAAAATTTAACTCAAGATTTGATGTATAAATTAATCATTTAAAATTTGACAAACATTGTTCACAGCAAATTCAAGTGATTCAGGTTTATCTGATTTGCAAAACCTACAGCAGACTATACATCATCAGCATAAATTTATATGTACAGGGCTGGTGCATTCTACCCCCAATCACCCTGTCTAGTTTGCAGGTGGAGAGAGACCTGCTAGAGACCCCAAGCAGTGCTTTTTGATCCTTGCTATCTTATCAACCTTTGCATTTTTCTTCCTATATTTATATACGTTACAAATTAAACTAAGCACAACTATTAAAGGATTGAAAATCTTTGCAGATAATTGGGTCTTTTTGTTTTGTCCAAATTTATGAATTTGCTTTGTTCATGCTATGTCTGGAAAAAAAAAACAATATATAAAGTTCATTATTTTTATCCATAATGTTAAAATTATTCAAATTTTTAACAAGTCTCAAGTTGATGTTAAAAATTACTGCAAAACAATGTTGATTTATTTAAGAGAGAATGATCTATTATATAATGTCTCTAATTTGTATTTTGATACATTGTATTTATTTTCAATTTGTTTTTCTTGTTGAATTGTTCACCTATATTCATTATTGTAGATTTAGGTTACAATAAATTTGTATTTTAGATGAATAATACCCTTTGAAAATTGAGATGTAGTAGAATGGGGAGGCCCTATCAGAGATTTGGTGGGGGGCACACAACCCATGCACTGGCCCTATATATATATATATATATATATATATATATATATATATATATATATATATATATATATATATATATATATATATATTACACATATATATATATATATATATATATATATATATATATATATATATATATATATATATATATATATATTGGAAAATATACATATTACCTTATGTTGAAAGTACAACTTGGAGTTTCTTGTTCAGTACAATCTTCAGATACTTATATTAATGATGAACTGTTTGTTACGATCATTGGTATATAAAAAATTATGGGTCTCGTGGAAGCAACATTATATAGTATATCAATTCTATGTTTAATAATTATATAATTAGAATCTAATACAGTTCTAGTATAGATCTGGATTCAACACTATTTACATTATTCAGACTATTGTCCTCATCTTTGTTGCTATGTTTATTACAACATTGTATGCTCCAGCCTTCTTCAGGTGGTTGGAATGTCAAACTGAACCCTTTATTTCACTCACTGGGGTGGACTGTTCTAGTTCCACATGCCATGTCCAATGGATATCAGTTAACTCCTGTTCTTCATTGAACTCACACTCTTTTGGTCCTGTCACTGGATCTAACTAACACCTTTATCCACTGTGCCATGTGTCCTTGAAGACATCTGTGTATGATTTTCTGGGTATTATAAACCTAATGTCTTCAGCAACCATTTTTTCCCAGTGCTCATATTGCAATTTTTGCTGTTATCATTTCATGTTTTTACCAGAGCTCATATTGCAACTTTTGTTGTTATTATCGCTTTTCTCTGGCACTCCTTATTACTGGTTCCTATATTGTATTCATTTCTATGCTTGGTTGACCCAGGAAATTTTTGTGGCCTAGCATATGTGCTGATTCCTTAAGTTTACGTATTTTCCAATGGTGTTCTTTGTCTATGATCTCAACCTGATCCCACAGAGGGCAGTGATCTCCATTTTCTCTCCATATGTTGTCAGCCATGCCTGATTTTTTCACTTCCCCTCGTGTTACAGCTTTCTGGTGTTCTTGAAGCCTTACCTTAAGTGGGTGGCCCGTCTTCCCTTTATATTTCTTTCCGCAGCTGCATGGGATAGCATACACACAGTCTTTAGTCATGTTCTCCTCTATGGGGGGGGTCTTACTTGGGAGAGATATCTGCGCAGTGTTGTCCAGCTTTTGAAGATTGTTCTGATGTTATATGAACCGCAGATCCTTTGTATTTTCTCTGATAACCCCTTCACATAAGGCAGGCAGACTGTTTTCTGAGTGTTGTTGTCCTCTTCTTGTACCCACCTATCCCAATTTTTGGGGGCTGGTGCCATGTACCTAGGGTAGTTGTTGTGTTGTAGGGTACTAATTATACTGACCAATTCTCTATCTAATGTCTCTGGGTCGCCACTTATGACTTTTGCTCGGTGTTGTAAGCAGTGGACAATCCCTTTCTTTACACTGTATGGATGGTGGTAGTTGAAATTGAGGTACTAAAAATAAAAATTGGAGACGCCAACTAATTTAAGAAAAGTTCATTAAATTTAAAGGGTAGTGAATCAAGAGAATAACTTTATATGAATAAATAAGTATAAAAAAAGAAAACAAGGTGGAGGGGGGTTAAATCTATGAATTGTTATATTAATTAGGTTAACCAGAAAATATTTAAGAAGAATTTTTTTTCTATGAATGCATGTGGTCATAAGCTCACTTCATTTGTTCAGCAGATTGGAGTTATCAATGTGTTTAAGGATGATAAGTTTGATGATGAATCCCGCACATGGACAGTTGCTTGCATCTATATTTAATTCATATATATATATATGTGTGTGTGTGTGTATGTGTGCAAATATATAGAAAATAGAAAAGAATCCTTAGGTTAATAATGCCAAAATATTATTAATAAAAACCCTAAACTAAAATTAGACAAAAATAATGAAAAATTACGTGATTGTAGAAACCCTGAAGACAGCCTGTTGGAAAATAAATGCCATATAGAATCTGTGGTAAACCAATGCACAATCTCATCCATTGAGAGTCCTAACATTGAAATGATATATATAGGATCCATGAAGAATGAATGTAAAATTAAGTGGAAACAACACAAAAGCTCCTTCAATAATATCAGAAATAGAAATCAGACATCCCTATCCAAATATTTTTGGCATTTAAAAGAAATGATTAAAAAACACCAAAAGTAAAATGGAAAATAATAAATAGAACAAGAACTTGTAAAACCTGGGATGACCCATGCCCTTTATGCCTGCATGAAAAACTACACATTATTAAGTTTCTAAAAAAGAAAATTTATTAAATCATAGATATGAGTTAATGGTTTTTTTGCCAGCATCAACAAATTTTTGCCTTAAATAATTAGCTTAAAATTTCATAGTCTATAAACAATTTCAATTTCAAGCAAAAGGTTTAATAGCTCAACCCAATCATAAGATAAAAAACCCTTTATGAAGTTGTCAAAAAACAAATTGTAGTTCAATAGAATGTATTTATATAAAAAAAAAAATCTTTAGGTATACAAATATGAATTTAACGGCATAACAATAATGCCAACAACTCTCTGTCATTGAAACAGACCAGACGATATGTGTCAAACTGATGTCATCATTCACTTCAAAATAGACACACTGACCCTACCTTGACTCTTTCTGAAAGTAACTAATATGTTGATACAATATGTTCACCCTTAAGCCCCTTATTAAAATAATTGGTTGTGCTGTTTCCATGTAATTACTATTTCGAATGTACATGCTTATAAAGCTCCGTAAATTCCAAGATTACTTATTTCAAAATTCACTTGTGAATGAAACAGAGTGGGGTTTTTAGCTTGTTTTTGAAACATGAGAACTCTTATGTACCAATGGAATCATATTTTAAAAAAATAATTTATATATATATATATATATATATATATATATATATATATATATATATATGGGCATGTGGCAGAGTGGTTAGAATGTTCGCCTTTTGACTATGAGACACAGGTTCAAGACTTCCTGATGTTATCAATCTGGAGGGGGACGATCCCAGTGTGCAGCATCTTTAGAAAGTGCCTGTAAACCATACCATGGGTTGACCCAAGCCTTGTGGGTGAAATTGGGTAGACGGAACACTTGGGGGCTGTTGATAGCTGTCCTAGCATGAAGCCACAAGTTATCGTGTCCAAGGGTGTGAGTGTGCTGGCCTTGTTCAGATTGTTGATCATGCTAGATAACATGTCTTTTCCCAGAAACTGTAACTAAGGTCTGCTCAGCATAGTTGCAGTATAAACCACAGGTTGGCTTTGTGGGTGTTGAGCAAACACAAATCTGCCTGAGTGAGCATCTGCAATAGGGATTGCCTAGCTGCCCTAGTAGACAGGTACCTTCAAATATGAGTGACCAGCTATTATATATATATATATATACCGTTCTATTTCCTAATTATACAGGAACAACAATATGGCAATATTCTATATTAGACTACATATATTCATTGTACAAAGAAAGGTTAGGATACCTTATTTTCTAAAGAAATTTGTACAGAATCAATAAAGGGTACAGTTATCTCCCTTCAAAACAGAGAAAAGTGTAGTTCTCTCCCTTGTTTTGTCTTTCTAATATATTTTTTTTTAAGTCTAAAAACAATATTCAATAATAAGATTATTTTGACAAGGCACAAATGTATGCAATGGAATATCCTAAAAAAAGCATATGTAACAAGTATTAGAGGCTTTATTACCTTGTGTGGGGTGAAATGATTAAAAAAAAATGCCCTTGAATCCAATTTTTCTCACAAATATAGATTAAATAACAGAGCAGGCTGGGCCCTCTAGACTTGGTTGGCAACCAGTCTAGAAGAAAACATGGATATGCAAAATAACTCACAGCTATCATAGCATCCTCGAGTGTAGCTGCAAATGCATCAATCAGTTTGGTAGGAATATCTGAGATGAAGCCAACAGTGTCCATATAGATGACCTTCAGGCGATTTGGTAAAGTTCCTGCATGTGCAGTGACATCCAAAGTGGCAAATAGTTGGTCAACAGGTTGAAGGTCAGCATCATTAGTTAGTGCCTTGATAATACTTGTTTTACCTGGCAGCAAAGAAAAAAAAAATCAGTGATTTCTAAATGAGGATTGCAAAGAGTTGGAGCCTTGTTGTGCAAGAATATGTAGCATAAACGTTGTTTAAAGTGTATGAAACATATGACAATATAAATATATGAAAAGTTCAAGCAAAACACAAAAGCCTTCATATAAAAACACTTGATTGTCACAAGCCTAAAATGTGCTTCTTGTTATAGTAACTTCAAGGAGCAAAAAGAGGATGACTGACTTGCTAACATAACGATGTCTCAGGCGGGTCTTGTCAGATTATGTGACTGTTTTTTATTTATGTGAATATTTATAATTAATTTTTATTGCTATTTTTTGTTTTGGGTCAAGGTGAGATTTTTTTTTCTCTTGATACAGGCTCATGGGATAGGTAAAAAAATGTGTTTAAATATTTTGTTGTAAATTTTCAGAACAAAAAATGTATAAATTCATTTTCATCATATGTTTAGGTTTTATTAAAATTCTAAATGTTGCTTTAAACAATAAATATTGCTGAGGAGTAAAGGTAGTTAAAATAGTAGTGGTCTCAAGGGGAAAACCCTTCTTTTGACACACCATTATTTTGTGAGTAGGAAGGTGCAAGATTGCCATTTTCCATTGTTTCAAAAACGATTTTTCTTTTCGAATTCTACAGAAGCTGCCACTTACCAGCATTTGTATAACCAACAACTGCAATGAGGGGAATTTGTCTTTTTAACCGATTCTTACGCAAAAGTTCTCTCTGTCTTTTAACTTTCCGCAGAGCTGCTTTTAACTTCAGTTCCTGTTCCTGTAAGAAAGCAAAACAGAAAAAGATAAATTTATTCACTGAACTTTCATTCCTTCTCAAGGTAAAGATGAAAGACATTAACATCTGTCTATATTTCTGAGATGAGGTATTGTTACTATTTACACTATTTACATCATTTAGACTGTTGTCCTCATCTTTATTGGTATGTTCATAACATTTCAGCTGTTGTTTACTCCAGCCTTCTTCAGGTGATATGCATTAGAATTTCAAACTAAACCTTTTATTTAGTCCACATGGACTAAATAAAGAGTTTGGTTTGAAATTTCAATGTATATCACCTGAAGAAGGCCAGTGCATACAACGGCCGAAATGTCATGAATTTGACAATAAGAATGATGAAGACAACAGTCCGAATGGTGTAAATAGTGTAAATAATTAAAAACATCCATTTTTATTTTCTTATCCAGTCCTGGGTGTGATGATAAACTACATCCGGCAGCAAAGCCTCTGATTGAGAGATTGGCAGGTTTTGAGGAATGTGGAACCACCTCTTAACTGTTGTTGTTCTCAGGTTCACCCTGACCTGGGGTGGTAGCATCTACTAGGGTCCCAGCTATGAGCAAATAGTGAATCCCCAAACAAAACTCAATAGTACATTTTTATAATAAAATGACCAATAATACATTTTTATAGCAAAATGACCAACAATACATTTTTATAGTAAAATGACCAACAATACATTTTTATAGCAAAATGATCATCAATGCAAAACAAAATGTATAAAAATAGATTTTTATAGTAAAATTACCAGCAATACATTTTTAAAAATAAAATTACCAACAATAAATTAAAAAAATAATAATACATTTTATCATCTACAAACTATATATCTAAAAAACATGTTTACTATAAAAGTATACAATTATGCACAAAATATCTGTAAGTGAAGGCATAATATTGTCTTCAAAATATATGTAGCTGAAGCCATAAAATTGCATACAAAATATTTAGATTTCAGCATTAAATAAGTCATAGAGGTTGATATGCCACTAAACAAAATCAACCAATCAATTATTTTCTTATTTAAACAAGGAAAAATGCATCCAAAAGAGAATTCAAAATACCCTTTAATTAATTAATAAAAAAAATCCACATACTAATGTAAACATACATGAAGCTTCTTTATCAGTTTCAAAGTAACTGGACAAATAACTCCATGTTTGAATTCCAGTCTGTGTCAGTATGCACAAAAACGGAAAACCTGATGTATGTTCACAAGAAAACGAAAGGTGAAATTGATACCACAGTGAATGTGACACTATTTGACACTGGTAAAAAGGAAAAGAAAGGGTTAATTTGGAATATGACTTGGAAGAGACAGAGAGGATTAAAAGCACGAGATGACATACAGATTTATGTCTAAAAGTGCAAGTGACAAGACTATGTCTCATGATTATCAAGAAGAAAGAAGGGGTCAATTAAGTATAATATTTGATAATTTCAGCAGAATCAAGAGACTGGCCTATGTCTGTCTGTCAGCAGGTGGAAACGGCCTTGCCAACCTTAGGATTTTATCCTGTGTAGAAGGAATTCAGATAGGAAATGGATCTGTGGGATTCAGTGGTACTATTATTGAAACTAAAAAGATAAGTACAATTAATGACTAAAAGTTTAAACTGCTTTTCTACCCACACAGTTTGAAAGTCTGAGTTATCAAAGAAACATATGAGGTGGTGGGCTTAGATGAGATACCAAGAGAGACAGAAAAATTATATCTGCCCATTTGGAAGTAATGGTGTGAGGTATAGATAAAAGAAGGAATTAGTTATATAAGCAGGTCAATACCTGCATCCACTACTCGTAAGAATCTCCTAAGTTTGGAAAGATAATATTACAAACCAGACAACAAAGAACCTTTGTTTAAATCAATATAGAAACCTGGGGAAACCCCAGATTCCCAAGCACCATCAGCCCTGACTCAGATTCTGAATTAAAGTCAATATAAGCAGAGTGCTTGAGCAGTCCAGACACTTGTAGTTGCAGATACAGACAATGAGAGACACAGACAAAGACACCACTGAAGCCCATGTGACCTGCTGCTGACAGAATTCCCAATTTTGAGTCCTGTTCCAAAAAATTTCATATCAATAGACAAAAGTTAAAGAGATTTTAGTGGGAAGGGTTGATTTTTGTATCCCAACAACTACATAAAACCAAATTGAAAATTAACCAAAACTGTTTTTGTTTGCATTATGTCTGCAAAAAGACATTTCTATTTTTTTTCATCATAGCATAGCTCACTGTGGTTTAAATCAGCACTATGATTCTGATGATTAATTGATCCCTACTAGCTCTGTGATCAAGAAACAGTGTGGGCAGACTGAAGTGGACAGCAACCAATAACTGTTGAACTGCAACATTACCAAACAACATGGGATTAACCCTGCAATCACTTCATCATCCTATGACCCTTAGGAGCAAGACATCATCTGCTATAGGCAGTGTGTGGCAAGGATCAGAATGTCACTGCTGACCAGGCTGACCCAGAATCGACCACCAGGTTATAGAGAAGTGAAAATGCAAATCTTGTTTCCAGTATATTTGGTTATCCAAGATTTCACTTATTGCAGTCTGGAGGTAGGTAGGTATTAGACAACTTCACTTATAAATTCTGTTGTTTCACAACGGACAAACAGAACAGATCTTCCCATTGGCCAATGAGAACTTTCCTATCACTCCTCTGCCCATCTCTAAATCACAATATGTGGCTTGAGCTCAGCAGTGGGTGGTTTGAAAATACTTGCAATTCTAACTGTAACTCTGCTTATATAAAGCTGCAACCAGAACTTCCAAACTTCCAGCCAAGTGGCACTTGTTCCCAAAAGTCTTTATCTATTTTCTTTCTCTTTTTTCCCCCCTCTTGGATGGTTGCTTTGAAGATTTTCCCTGCAGATTTTATTTTCTACATATTCATAAAGAAATCCAGTGCTTAGGACTAGATAAGTTTGCCTATTGTCCAGTTCACACTCCTTCCCAGTTTTTTGAACAGGAGTAGAGGTTCATCCCTTGTTTCCTGTTTTGAATTGGATTTCCGGTTCCTTCTAATGTCTACTTCAACTCTATACAAAATGCGATGGGTAAATTGTCACCATTTATATTTTTAATTACACACATGTGCATTATTTATTTTTGATTTTGTCAACTGCACAGTATAGCAGTGTCAGTTGGGCACTGTCTGTGAGAAGAAGATGCAATTCACTCTGCCATGAATTTGGAAATGGATTAGCATTCACACTGGAAGCTCCAATATGAACATTTCAGAGTGTTTGCATGTCAGTACAGAGGATTTAGAAAGAGATAATATATCTAGTTAACATCATGGTGTTTGGAGTGATCACTAGTGATGGCAACATTATGCCTCTATTTACCTTCCCACATGGCCTTGAGGAGGTAGTGCTGCCCTGGATCAAGAGAGTTGCTGCTGGAAGAACCTATGTCTGACAACAGGACTCTGCACCATGTCATACAAGCAGGAGAATGCAGTCATGGCTGTCAGACAATTTCTGTGACCACATCACCACTTACATCTGGCCACCCCAGACTGCAATACATTTGATTACTATGTGTAGGGTGTAGTTGAGACCAACAAAATTCCTTGTAACATGAAAGATGAACTGAAAGCAAGGATTATGACAGCATTCACCAACTTAAGCAAGGAGACAGTCCAGAAGAGATGCCAGAGATTCCAAAGTCATCTGAAAACCGTGGTTGAAGCCAATGGCGATTTTATTGAATAAATTTACTCTTTAGTATTTCATAATATTTTCCTGTAATATTGGTAAATATATCTGCTAAAATGAGATGTCAGTGTTATTTTCATAATTGCATAATTTAGATGACAATTTATTTATCACACCTTTTACTTTTAACATCTCCACATAAACTCTGAAATTTTATTTAATACTAGCAGTAGAGCCCGGCGTTGCCCGGGAATGTAACAGTAAGAGATAGATCAAGTATCGACCATCATAAAGACTGAAAAATAAAATTGACAAAGATTATTGTTTAAGGTTGACGGACACGCATGTCTTAATTAGTTTTTTTTTTTTTTTTTTACGAATTGGTCAAACCCAAACTCAAAAAAAAACATTGTTTTCAATCGTTATGAGTCTACCGATTGAATAGAATTTTATTATAAACAATTGTCTTGTAAATGGAATTTTAAAGCATTCTGAATGTAAAAACAAAGAAAAAAGTGTGCAAGACAATAAGAAACACTACCTGCCAAAAAAAAAAAAAAAAGTGAAGTTTTGTTGAAATCGGTTGAAAAATGTAGGAAACCGATCCCATATATAAACGAACACACACACACAAACAACCTGGGTTTTATAATAAGTATAACTCGATATGAGTTGTCCTCCTTTCATTCTCGCGACAGTGATGCCTCTTAATCGTGTTTTCAAATTGATTTAATGCAAAAATAATTGTGTTTTTCCAATTTTTGGCACTGTCAGAACTACCGCAAGGTAATTTTACGTAGTCCTGTGAAGTTTTGTTGAAATCGGTTGAAAAGTGTAGGAAATCCAATCCAATATATAAACGAACAGACACACACACACAGACACAATCTGGGTTTTATAATAAGTATATGATTTATTTATTTTTCAAATGTGCTGGTATATAGTGTTTCACATAATAAAAATCTGTGCATCACATGAATGTGAATGTACAAATCATACATTATTTACATTATGCTATGTGCATCACATGTGATGCGAAGGTTATAATCATTTCAATAAAGTGGAAAAATAGATGTCTTTCATTTGAGACCTTACATTATCAGTCAAGCATTCTGTGGTCATATAAGATACACACCATATTAGATTAGGCCTTTCCTCAGACATCCTGCTCAATAGTAGACTCTTTTCTTAAGCAACCTTAGTTTTACCACTCTTTTAAAATCATGGCTCATGTACACCACACATGATGCACAGACATGGAAATCATATGTCTTGTGCATTACATATGATGTGCAGGACAAGCAAAGCATTAAGATTCATAATTGGTTCTTTCTCACACTTCAGTTGAACCCTTCCCCATGATTTTTCTCAGCTCCTTTAATGAATTCATTTTAATGCTACAAAGCCCCTCAAAGGTGTTTTCATGCACAAACATGGACCTCACCCAGTTAGAGTTAGATAAATACATCACTGTTTTGTAAATTCTTTATAAAGATTTTTTTTTCTTACCTGTAGTAACTTGTACCTCTGTTCCAGGTAAATCTCACCTGAACGTCTGATATTTTGGGTCACACTTTGGGAATAACTTGGGCTATCTCTATGGATAGACACCAAGCGAGACCTTAAGAAAAATATAAATGATTTTTCAAAGGAACATTATTTAAAGCAAACTGTATATTTTTAGATACATGAAGGCAAACACTTAAAAAAAGTTATAACTTTTATCATTCAGTAAGTATTTATTTCCAGAAAAGATAAATTTTGATAATTTCTATAGTAAATTCAGTCTTTGGTGTAATTTTACACATTAATGGTTACTTTGACTTTACAGAGAAATTCACAAAACAAAAGAAATAAAATAAAAAATACACTGTGAGCAAGGCTGATAAAATGCTGATAACATCCCTTGCAAGAACCTAACCTAAAAGAAGCTACATGCCAAGTATATACTTATAAACTCAAATATATACAACCAATATTTACCTATCTCCAAGCCAATTAAATACTTGTAGAATCAACTATAAACAACCAATTTTATCTATCCCTTAATCAGGTAGATTCTTATAGACTCAAATATAAACAACCAGAACTTACCTATCTCCAAACTTAGTAAATGCTTATAAATTTCAATGTAAAGAATCAATATTTACTTATCCCCAAAGTAAACACTCAAATATAAACAACCAATAATTACCTACCCCTAAAACAAGTAAATGCTTATAGAGTCAATATAAGTAATTAGTATTTTCCTATCCCCAAAACAAGTAAATTCTTATAGACTCAAATATAAACAACCAATATTTACCTATTCCTGAATCAATTTGTTGGTTGTTGATTGTTTTTGTTTAGCGGTATATCAACCTCTATGGATTATCTAATGCCGAAATCAAAATATTTAGTACGCAATTTTTTTTGAGAAAATAATGATTTACTGATACATGTCTTACTAATTAACCCATAGCTGGGGAGAGAAGAGATGGATTCATACCTTTTCCAAGTGTATTTGTGTATGTGAGTATAATGAACCCAGCTAGAATTGGAACAGATCTCCAATTAACTACATTCTTTACACCACCCATACTTCCAAGCTTACAACACCTAGTATACCCAAGCAGTCACCCATCTAGGTACTGACCAGGCTCAATGTTGCTTAACTTCAGTGATTGTACTGGAACTGATGTTTCAACGGGATGTGGTCGTAAGCTCTATTCAAATATAAGCAACACTTTTTTTTACCTATACCAGAACCAAATAAATAATTTAAAAAAGTAATTAAAAAAAAGACCGAGCTCTATTTTAAATGACCCAACAAATGTTGATATGCCATAAAATCAATCAACCCAATCCACAAGACAAAAACATAACAGATCTACAATAACAATAAATCTGCTATCCATCACATGACATTTATATTGAAGGATGGCTGAAAAGTTCTCAGCCTGACCAAAATGCAAATGATCTCTTGAACCATAAGACAATTCCACAGTTCAATACACTTGTTGGTATATCATTTCTCAAGTTTAAAGAAATGTTTGGGGAGAGGTAAATATTAATTGTTTATATTTGAACCTGTGAGCATTTACTTGGTTTGGGGACAAGTAAATATTAATTGTTTACATTTGAATCTATAAGCATTTACTTGTTTTAAGGGTAGGTAAATTTTGGTTGTTTATATTTGAGTCTACAAGGATTTACTTTGCACGGGGATAGGAAAATACTAGTCATTTATATTTGAGTCAAAAAGTCTATATTTGTTAATCATAAATTGAAAAGCTTACATATATATAAATTATATCATAATTATATCATTATATATAAATTTTATCATAAGTATTTATATTAAATAAAAACAACATGTATAGATAGATTTGAGTATAATCAATTGTGTAGCATCCAGATGGATATACAGTAGTCTCCCCTAATAGATATGGAGGATAACTACCGTCCATCTTAACTCAAAAAGGAGATAAGTGTATGTTACCTGATATACGGAACTTCTGCAAGTGCTACTTGCAATTTAGCTTCCTTTGTTCTGGCATGTTCCTTAAATATCTGTAGAATAATAGTGTACCTGTGAAAAATAAAATTAGAATTAATGAAAACTCTGGTGAAAACATTACCTTGGCTTTATAAGTAGGAAGTCATAAATTGATAGAATATCATAGAATTATTTACTGAGAAATAAAACGAGTGACAAATTAATTCACTAAATAACCCCATGAAAGCAAAGTTTGCTTACCTGGTCACTATTTGCTACTGTCATCTTCAAAATACTACCCCCCTTGTGAAGCTACACAATTCATGAGTCGATGGTACTCTTGATGGAAACATTCTTGGAATTTGTTTTCACCGAACACTTTTCAGTAATGTAGTCACATATTGCTGGAGAGTAGGGACTTTCAGGGCATTTTGGAATTAAGAAATTATCAAAATATGTAAAAGGAAGAGATGCTCTGAACTTATTTTAATGACTTTACATGGTGAGAGCAAATAAAAGAAATGCCTGGAAAATTACAATTACTTTTATAAATACTTTCATAGTAATTGTTTGGATGAACTCTTCTCCATAGTACCTAGGTTTTATGAATTTAATAACAGTATGAGATTGGTGACAAGATCTCATCAATTCACAGTTGAATTGGATAATGAAAGAAATACCTGGAAAACTCCATTTTTTCAAAATTTATAGCTAAAATTAATTGTTATGTGCTTATTTAAATTTTCTTTTTCACAGACATTTTTTATAAATTTATGAATAAAAAAATTTCTTTTCATATTTATTTCTTTATAAAATTTATAAGTCTACTAATCATCCATAGTTTGAATATTGCTTCCACATATAGGCCAGAGCTCTTGTATATTTAGAGATTCTTTATAAAATCCAAAGAATCAGCAATTTATAACTAAAATTAATTGTTATGTGCTTATTTAAAAAATTTCTTTTCATATTTATTTCTTTATAAAATTTATAAGTCTACTAATCATCCATAGTTTGTATATTGCTTCCACATATAGGCCAGTGCTCTTGTATATTTAGAGATTCTTTGTAAAATCCAAAGAATCAGCAATATTATTCAACTTGATCTGGCATCTCAACTTCAGTCACTTTCCCACCACTGTAATGTAGCCTCCCTGTGCCTTTTCTATAAATACTTTCATGTTAATTGTCCAGATGAAGTCTTCACTATGGTACCTGGGCTTTATGTATTTAAGCACAGTACTAGATTGCTGGCAAGATCTCACCAATTCATAGTTGAGTTGGCTAGATTTAATTGTAACTTACATTTCATTCTCTCCTGAAATTGTAACTTATATTTCATTCTCTCATACTTCTCACTTGTCAAACTCTCTTCCAGCTCCATGCTTTCTAGCCAACTTTGATCTTCAAAAATTTAAATGCAATGTCAATTGTTATCTACTGTCCTCCTGATTACTCTTCTTCTATTGTTCTCCTTAATAATATTACTCTTTTATTTTATTCCCTCACATCCATTAAGCCTTTGTGTCTTAGTGGCTTTACTGCCTTGCATGGAGTGATATGATTAAAAAAAGAAAATAAATATGGTAAATAATAAATATTTCATTATAGTTCACATATTTTTATAATCTTTCAAATATAAAATTATTTTTGTAAATAAACAATCTAATGGTGTTTAATATTTTTGTTGACAATTCTCAAGAATATAGAAAATGTATAAATCCACTTACATATGTTTGGGTTTTATTAAGATTTTAATCATTGCTTTTTAAAACAATTAACATTGCTGAGGGAGTAAAAAGTGTATACAGTAATAGCAGTGTCAAGGGAATAACCATTCTTTGGACATAGTGTTTTTTTTTCAGGCACAAAGGTTAAACATTATCCAATTTCTTCTACTACTCAGTAACTAATAACTCATGATGTCTCTCCAGAAAAGAAAGTTAGAACATGTCTGATCTTGTTTGGGCACAAATATTTGCAAGACTATTGTGTCATCAAAACGACCCTTTGTTACCACTTTAATGTTGCTAACTTATACTTGCTTGATACTTTATCTATGCCAACGTAGTAGAGACTTTGTAATCACAGATACCAATTATAATATGCCGTTGAACAATACTGGTGTCAGACATCTTAGAATAATACTTATAGTAATAGTACTTCGCATAGTGAGAAGAGAATAGCAGTCCAAATATTATAGGGGATAGAGGAGAAATAGTGAATAAATCTAGACATCATTTGGCTTCTTTATATATGCGTTTCTGCTATGGTCACATGATCTACCTAATGAATAATGAGATTGCTTGTGTTTGTTCACTTGCGATCTATGTTCAAGCACCAGTGTCAGCAGTGACACTTTATTCCTATTAGCCTAGTGACACACTGTGGTCATTCCAGCAATAAAATTGTCATGCATTATATATAAATAAACATTCTACTGAATTCTGGTCAGCATGAAGACATTAATAGTAAAAATAATACAGACTTATTTATGCATGTTGGAGAAAAAATAAAAGAAGATCTTTTACTGGAAGATCATTGTTATATAGGACATCATCATTGATATGCTGTGTCCCTTCAGGATATTGACAGTCAGAGCTCTCCATAAATTCCTATCCCTTGAAAATCTAAGCAGCTTTTGACTCATTACTAACACTTTATATGAACACATGGCAGAACAGGGATGAACACATTTTCCCTCTATCCCTCCTTCTCTTATAACATCCTGGGAACATTAAATTTTCCAAGCCCTCTTTCCTCATAATGTAACTGAGAAATTTTAGCTGCCTCTTTTACATTTTAACTATAACTGTTTTTCTAGTTCCTGACTTTCTTTCGAACTTCCTCATTGCTCACATGCTTTGTCCATGGTATTCTCAGTATCTGTCTGAAGAGCCACATTTGTATGTGTTTGAAAATTTTTGCAAGGTATCCATAATGTCCTGATCTTGTTACACTTCTTATTGGCACAATATCCAAATAAGTCAACAAAATGTCTAGTCTTGCTAACATCATATCCATTTATTTGCTTGGATATTGCCAGTACGACTTCAATACCAAAAGATAAGCAGTTATATAGACATAATCCTCTATGTGCGCTTATTGTCAACAGGTGCCTGCTGTTCTCTTTAACGTCCACCAGTTCATTCCCACATAACAAATTTGGGATAAGTAAATAAAAGATGAAAGAAAATGCAGAGGGTAAGTAAGAGGTTTAAAGGAAAACAAAATGAAAAGCAAATGAAAGGAATGGAGAAAGAGACGGAGATGAAAGCAAGACACACAGGATTGCTGTCTTAAGTTTATTGACATTATCACATTTTGAACGTTGTACCCTCTGGCTTTCTTCAGGTATCTATCAGTCCCAGTAATCTTCAGGGAATTTTAAACTAATCTCCCTTTTCAATCCATGGTACAATAGCCTAGTGGATTAAAGGATTGATCACAAATCTGATGGCTTAGTAACTGTGAGTTCAATCCTTGGGTTAGCCAGTACAGACTTAGACTCTGTTGATTTCAATTCATAATAGAAATAAATATTTATTTTTGTATAATTACAAATGTTGTGGCACAAAGCACTAGGGGAAGTGGGGAAGGGCTGGTCTTCATTAATTTTCCTCATCCTAGTTAATCACAATCACGACTGATTCATTCATTACAATATACTCATTCACCACAAGAACTCATCCACCATCTCTCAATCCTGCATAACACATAATCACAGGGGACCTACAAAACACCCCATGATGTAAAAATTTGATAAATGTTCAATGTCACTTGTATGTATAAAGGTTTGAATTGCATGTTCATTCTTATTTGACAGAAATAAACACACACCCAGCAACATGAGAGATTGTAAGAATAATTCTTTTTTTCTATTTTTTTTATTTATTTTGCATTAACAACCTTTTTGGAGATAATAATGATTTTCTCCAGATACAGGTCACACTATTTAACCCATAGCTGGAGGGAGAAGAAGTGGATTCATAACCTTTCTCAAGGGCATTTGTCCGTATAGACTCACTGGAAACAGGGCAAGCAATAACTGAGGAGTATGAAATAAAAACAAGAGTGAATATCCTTAGACATGGGAGAACAAGAACAATCTGCTCTCATAGATTAAATAAAGGGTCCAGTTTGAAATTCCCTAAAGATTACTCAAATTGAAAGATACCTGAATAAGTCTGAAGAGCACAACAGCTGAAGCATGATAATAACAACAAAGATAAGGACATTAGTCTGAGTGTAAATAATTTTTTTTTCATTAATCATTAACATGAATAAAAGTTTTGAAGTATTCAATAAATTCTACTTTTGGCATCATTGCTAATAAAGAAATAATTTTAGAAATTAAAGTTAATTATAAAAAGGTTGTCTTTTCTGTCTATATTTCTGAGATGAGGTACATATGGCTCAGTGAATAAAAGCATTGATTGGATCCAGTGACTTGACCCAAAGAGTTGTGAGTTCAATACCTGGCTACTGCAGTGGTGAACAAAAACTTGGAGAGTTGAGTTAAAGTTAACTGAGACATCTGGAAGAGGCATGGCACGTGGAACTAGAACAATCTACCCTGGTGGATGAAATAAAGGGTTCAGTCCAAAATGCCAGTTACCTGAAGAAGGCCAGAATGTTGTGAATATGGTAATAAGATGAGGACAACGCTCTGAACAATGTAAATAATGTAAATAGTTGTTTTTTTCTGTTTGGATTTCTGGAATGAGGAACTATCATTATTTAAATTAAATTACATTTGAACCACTTTCCTCATCTCTGTTGTTATTATTCCAACATTTCAGCCACTGTGCTCTCCTGCCTCCTTCAGTGGTCTTTTGATCAATTAACCTTAAATAAGCAGACACCTGATGAAGGCTGGAAGATGCAATGGCCGAAACATTGTGATAATAACAACAAAGATGAAGACATCAATCCCAATACAAATAAAGACATATTTTATTAACATAACATGACATATTTTTTTAAATAAAATATAGCCTAAATAAGAATTAAGCTTTCAGATCAATGTTGGCATCCCCAAAGACTTTCTCCTTGGTTCTACCCTCTCTCTGTTTTATGCTTAAGATCATGAAAGATATATATGCAAATGATATCACAGTGTCTGGTTGCATTTCCATATATCATGATGACCAGTACCTGGTAGATGATCCTTCCTCTGACCTAAGTCTTACAGCTCTGTGGAGAAAAGCTTGGCTGATATCACTCAATATATCCAAAACTAAACTTGTAACATTTCATCGCCACCCTAAACCGACACCTATCCTGATGAATGGTCATGCTCTCAAAGAGTCTCCTTGCCTCGAATGCATACTAGAGCTAAGATTTACTCCTGATCTCAAATAGAATGCATATATTCATGCCATCACAAAATATGCTAGGAGAATAGTTGGTTCATTGCATCACTCCAGAAAATACCTAACTCCCACTACCATGATCTATTTTTATAAGGGTCAGATCAGATCAAGAATGGAGTATTGCTTCCCTATCAGGTCTGGTGTGCCTAACCAGTATTGTCCAAACTCAACAGAGTTCAAAACCACTTAACCGTGTGGGTGATGAATTATTCTTCACCCTGCAACTGTTATCTCATGATGAAACATCACTAGCTTTTCACTACTATATTGCTATTACTATGGCAGATGTTTGGATGAGTTACATTCCTTAATTCCACCAGCTTAGACCTTCACAGCTAGGACCCGCCCTGCCATGTTCAAGGTGGCAAAGCATCCCCATTCCCTTCAGGTTCCGTTGATAAAAAGCAAAAAGCTTCTTCTCCCGAACTGTTACCTCGTGAAACAAACTCCCAAGAGAGTGCTTCCCTGACAACTACAATCCTGGTCTCTTTAAGTCAAAGCTCATCTGATATCTATCCTACACATCCTCATAATAATCTCTTACGTCCCCCTCCCTTACAATCTCACTCAGTAACGCTCTACCTTGAGTGGCTGTTGGGCCTTGTATTGGGTAAACTATCAGCAAAAAAAAAAACAAAAAAAAAAACAAAGAGCAAGAAAATTCTTGTTTTCTTGTTTTCATTACCTGTCATAGACGGGGATATTCCACACCTTCTGCAAATAGGACCACTGGACGCCATTTAACATCTCAATGCTGAGAAAGATGGCAGAAACTGCTGGGCATTGTTGTATCTGTTCCGTGAGTTCTGCAAAATTACCCTTGCCAAAAATTTGCATCTTTTGAGGTGTTTTGCTGCTGACAACTTTCTAGAAAACAATAGAAATTAGCTTTCATTTTATAAAAGACATTATTTAAGTTAATGCAAATAAAATAGAATTGTGGAGGTTTTAATTTTCATGTGGTCTTGTTTACTTCTACAAATTTATTGGAAAGTAAAGAATGAATGACAAGGTTTTTTAAAAATAATTTCTAAGTGGGTTTGTTTAAAGGTATTGAAATTTAAATAACGTAATTATTATATATGTAAGAAAAATGAAACTTTGCAATGTGATAATATAAGATTTAAATGATGTGTAAATTTTACATATTTATGCAAATTATAAGTTGACTAAATTCTACTTTAAGTTGGTTTCTTCTCAACTGGAATCTCACATTTCATCAATAATATTTAATAAAAATAATTTTTATTTTGTTTCAAGTTGATCAACTTGTTTCAAGTTAGTCAGATTCCAAGAAAGTTTTTAACCATCCCAGAATCAATTTTTTTTTTTAACTTTGTGATCATTAAGTCATCAGTAGCATAAAAACATCATTAAAATGTTTAGGAATTAAAAAGTTTTCAAAAATGAATAAATACAAAAACCAAGAAGTTAAATTTTAATTTTTATAAAAAATTACATGTTTATTTAAACACTAGCTTAAAAGTCACACTCTGTGCAGACTTTTTAAGTCTAGCTTCTGCGGAGGGATAATTGGGCCTATGAACTAAAACTAAACGCATCTCTTGTCTAGCTTAGATAACTGCAATGATAATTATGAAGAAATAACTTTGAATTCCTCAATTTACTCCATTCAAAACCTCACTTTAACTCTTATTCAGGCTATAAGTCCACTTTTTGCCCAAACTCCGATTTGGGCTGAAATCCAGGCCGAAAATTGAGTTCTTCAAATCAAAAATTCTGTAGAACTTCAAAACCTCACATCACAAAACCTCTCACTTTAATTCTGATCCCTTGGCATCTTGAAGAAATAAAATTGATTTCCTCAATTCACAAAATTTTGGAGATATTTTAAACTGAATTTAAAACAAAATTTTTAAAATTCACAGTCTTTGTTACTTTTAACTCAGTATAGAATAAAAAACTTTTAAAATCACTAATTCTTTTCAGTTATTTTAAAATTTGAATTTTTAACTGTCCCCTCCTCATCCTGACACAAATCCCAATGCTGGATGTTCAAGCAGATTTTCAATCCTGGGATCATCCTGATTCCAAAAAGGTGCCTATGTAGAGCAAGTGTGGCCTGAGTTAGAAGGGGGTTTAAGACACATGGAAGGACAGACAGAATTTGCTGTTTATTTATTTAGATTTCACTTAAATCACCTTGAATAATTTTACACAAAAATGGCTTTATTAATTAATTAAATATTCCATGTTTATTAGTGGTCAGTTAGTGCTACTCCTAATTAGTATTTATGTATAGTCTTGCATTATAAAGTAGTGGCAATGGTACTTGTCCCGCTTATACTGTTGACATCTCTCAGTTGGATCTCTGTTTTCAGGCAGAGCACGACTGAAAAAATATTGAGAGGTTCCTGGTCCCAGGGAACAGCTGCCTGAGGCAGTAACCCCTCATTGCACTAAAGAGGGGGACTGGTAGTAATACCCATTCCAGCACAACCAACAGTTGCTGGGGCTTTGGGCCCTGGTTGGAGTGTATGTGCTCGAGCACCCCACATGAAACCAACCTTGTGTCATATCTTGTCACCATGGGGAGATGAGTAAATACCATGGTACTTAGACTTTGGAACTAATACTGACAATATTCAGTCACCCCCCCCACGAGGGTGTCATGTGGCACAAGGCCTTTTTAACGTGGGCATTCCCGAGCCATTATGCTCGGCCAAAAAATAGCCCATTGAACCCGTATAAACAGGTTCTGGACTGGTTTTACCTCCCCAAAGGAGACTCTGCCCTTCGGCATAGCCTCCTTCGGGTTCCTCCTGCCCGTAGGAAGAGAGTACAACCGAAGAGCCGCTCAGAAAGTATTGGGTCGACTGACTCAAAGTGATTTTCTAAGCATAGCTTAGATGTGGCACAAGGCCGAATTTAGGGGGCGCCCAGTGAGAATCGAACTCACTACTCAACCGTAATAGTTCTAGTGAGACAAGCTTGCTAACCATTACACCACCTTGAGGTGCCCTCATAGTGATTTTCCAAGCATAGCTTAGATGTGGCACAAGGCCGAAATTAGGGGGCACCCAGTGAGAATCAAACTCACTACTCAGCCGTAAGTGTTCTAGCGAGACAAGCTTGCTAACCATTACACCACCTCGAAACTAATGCCCCAAAACTAATACTGACTGCATACAACTACAAGATAATTAAATTGTTGTACCTGCCTGATTTTGGCATCTTCAATTTGTAATTTGCAGGCTGGACTGTTCCTTTTGCTAACAACCATGCATTCAGTCTTCTTGCAATTGATGTCTAGTCCTTTCTTCAGGCTTTTCTTCACTGCCTTCTGTAGGCATTCCTTTAATTTCCTTTCTATGTCTGCTTACAACACTTTGTCATCTGCCTTTCTTAGGTTGTTAACATTGTGGTCAGTAATAATGAATCCTGGTACTTCTAATTCTTTCAGAATCACCTCACCGTACAGATTGAATAAGTCTGGTGAGAAGACACATCCTTGTCTTACACCCCTTTTTATTTTTGTGTATTTATTAAACTCATTTTCTCTCTGTATGCAAGTGGTTTGCTGCCAGTATAGGTTCTGGATTATTCTAATATCCTTCCCAAATATGTCAAGGTTACCAAGAATTTCTTACAGTTCTTTGTGACATACTTTACCAAATGCTTTTGCATAGTTTGAATTAATAATCACATCTTTCAGCAGTTGTGTTCCCCAGCCTTCTTCAGGGCACAAAGAATATAATCTGAGTAATCTTTAGGAAATATCAAACAAAACCCTTTATTAAATCAACAGAAGTAGATTGCTCTCATTCAATTGACTATACCTTTTTATGTTCTTATTTAGTACTGATTAATTATTGCTGGTCATGTTACAACTCAATTAACATCCTGGCTATGACAATAAACTACATCTGGCAGAAATGGCTCTGATTGGAAGGTTTTGAGGAGCAGGGAACCACATCTTAATTGCTATTATTCCCAGATTAACCCTGTTAGGGTCCCAGCTATGGGCAAATAGTTAACCCCCAAACTTGTGCCAAAACACTATGAAAGTATAAAAAAAACATTTTTATAGTAAAAATACCAGCAATACATTTTCATAGTTAAAAAAATTACCAGCAACACATTAAAAAAATAAAAATTACCAGCAATACATTTTTCGTAAAAGAAATTACTAATGCTCCCACAAAAATTAAATTTTGGCATTAAATAACATTTAAGGAGTTGATATGCTGTTAAACAAAACCACTGATTTAATGTCTGCACTACCCAGCTCAGGGATTGAACTCACAATTTCTGTACTACTAAATTCATGAACTGTTCTGTATACCCATGATGACTTTATGAACTCATACAGTACCATAAAGAGTTTCACAGTATGAGGTTGTTGGTAATCAATTTTTCAAAGTTTTCATACTAACTATACAGGCATTATGGCAAGTAGCCTAACCATTACATATAGAGAATACTTATATTAATTACATTATACCAAGTATAAGAGTGTATTAATAAGAATACTCTTACAATAGGAAGTTACAATAGTTGGTGATGAGGATGCTGATTACAAGCATTTGATAAAAATCGTAACAATATAACTGGAGTTATAATAGTTGGCAATGAGGAACTTGAACATAAACACGGGAGAACAATGACCACATTATAAATGAAGCTATAATAGTGTGTAATGAAGAACTTCAACTCAACCATGGTATAACAAACACCACATTATAACTGGAGTTATAATAGTTGGCAACCAGGTATTTGAAATTCATTTGTGTCATAACAGTCACCATATTATAACTGAAGTTATAATATTTAATGGCGAAGGATTCAGAACTCCTAGAAGTATAACTGTATTATCAGTTAGACAAGATATGAAAATGTCAGAAAAATTCTTGTACTCACATGACCGACAACCTTCCAGTTCTTGAGAGTATTTACCAATGCAATTGATTCTTCAAGTTGGTTCTTAATAGAACTGAGAGGTTTCTGTGGCCCCCATTTGATATCTTGAAATAAATGAAATTGTTTTATAAAAGTGTTGACTGATTTGCTTTTTATGGCTTATCAACCCTTTGTGGGTTATTTAAAGTCAAAACATATTTTGGATTGTAAGAATAATTCTTTGTTTTTTTTTTTTTGTGGGGGGGTGTTGTTGCAAGTGAATATTGCATTAACAATTTTTTTTTAAAAATAACAATGATTTTTCCAGATACAACACCTACAATTTAACCCATTACTGGGGTGAGTAGAGTCGGATTAATACCTTTTCCAAGGGTATTTGAGCATAAGTGAGTGTAACGGTTAAGTGAATCTATTTTTATGAATGAAACTTCTCCAAGTTCTGGGTCATTTAGATAAAAGACTTCAAAGAACTCCTTGATGTGAGTCAAATAGTGGCAGGTCTTTAATGTCTGGCAGTTGTTAGAAGATCAAAAGTGTTTCTTTGAAGTTGCTGTGGTACCAAATGTGTCTTTTGATGTGAGCAAATATACTGATTTTTCCAATTGCTGACTTCCACCTTACAAGTGAAAAGTCTTTCATACAGGTATTTGTATTTATTGGTTGCTGCCAAAGTTAAGTGATTTGGCTGGTGAAGTCAGTCATTGTAGAAATCTGCTTGATAGTAATTCATTTAGTACCATTCGTTGACCTGACAAGTAAACTATACTGCAAAAACCCAGCAACTCCTGACTGAATGTACTTCAAAGTATTTTTTAACTTCTTACCAGTAAGATATTCTTTCCTTCTTTGCCACTGACCAAATCACTAAAATTATAATAAAACATTTTTTTTTTGTTTACTATAAAACCCATTTGGTCATCCTGTCATTTGATTTGCTTTTCTTTATCTTATTTCTCTTTTTCTCTTTTTGCACACATGACATAACAAACTCAACTGGAATTTGAACTCAGATTACCGATTTCTCATTAGGAACTATCCATCACACCACCAGCACATCCATGTTTCATAAGGAATGATATTAACTAAAGAATAATAACGAGTCATATATATACATATATCCCCATATAACAAGTGACCAATCACAAGAGACATGACAAACAATTAACAATCAAATGGAGAGTTTTGCATAATGTTCCCACCTGATTTCTAGATGAAAAAGTAAATTGGCTTCACTCGAGATGGTCTTATCTCAGTAGATGTAGTCAAGAATACAACACATCTTTGCTCAGACAGGATAATTAACCAATCAAATGGTTCTATTTACTTTTCAAAACACCTAAGCCTCTGAACCAGTAGTCATTCTGAAAAAAAATAAAAGGCAAGTCAGCAATTGAAAAAGACAGACTCACCTCAAAAGACACACTTGGTACCACATCAACTTCAAAGAAACACTGCTGACCTTCTAACAACTGCCAGACAACTAACACTATTTGACTGTCATCATTTCTCTCCTCCTGAATGTATGTATATGAACAAACCTCCACTCTTATCAGCATATACTCTTCATTTCACACATATACATACTTACAGAAAGCTAAACTTAAAACTGTGAAGTTTAAATAACGTTTCTCCAGAAACTTTTCATACAGTTTTGTAAGTATTTACAAAAATGTATGAAAAGCTTCTGGATTGTATACAATTTATTCTTTTATTGTTGATACAAGAAAATTTATAATTATTTTAACAACATATAATTTCATTTTCTCATTCATTGTGGTAAACTAAGAACTTTGTTCCAAATTCTGTTAGTGGACTCAAGTTTTATGAAAAATTTATTGTCACTTGAAATATTAGTCTTCATACCAATTACAAAGCTGAAAATTTACCTGGTTGAATTAGGAAAACTCGTTGGCCGGTGTTTGGAATGTTGTAATATTCCAAGACACATTCTTGATACTTGGGATCCGACTGCAATAATTCCTCCAACTCTTCTACAATATAAAATGACAGTCAAAAATTAAAGAAATGCACTTATAAGCTGAAACATCAGGAGAAAGTCTAAACAAGGGTTTCCCAACTTGGGCAATACTGCCCACCAGTAGGTGATTTCAACTGTTGGGTGGGTGATAAGCAACTGACCAGAAAATAGTGGGCAAATGAAAATTTTAGTGGGTGATATAGGATTTTGAGTATTAAAAAGTTATTTCATCATATGCTACCATGTAAAATATTCAAAGGTAATATGTAAAAAACCTATATAAAATATATAAAAATATATAAATATTTTTTATATAGAAAATATATTTCCTATATAAAATATATAAAAAAACAGGAGACTAAATGAGAATAATTGGGTCACATTCCTAGATAAGATATAAATATCCCCACAAGCAAGGAATATTTTAGTATTTTCTATCATTTTGAGAAGGGTCATTAACATTCAAATAGTTCTTCAGATAAAATAACATTTTTTTGGATATAAGTCAGATAGGAGAAGAGCAAAACAACAAAAAATATTTGCTGAATTTTTTTTTAATTTTTTAATTATGAACAAAAATCATTTAATTTTTTTGCCACCAACACTAAACCTGATCATAATACTAACTTATATATATATATATATATAGTTTTCAAGAGTCAAGTTTACTTATGTTTGTTCTTTAATATGGTAGCAGCACCAGCCGCCACATAAGTCAGCGTTATTTGTTATCTCCCTTTGGTATTTTTACTTCATCATAAAGTCAGTTTACAAACCAGTAAGAAACTTTTATCAAACAATTTTAGTATGCTTTTGAATATTTACTATACAGGCAGGCAGTGGAAATTTTTTCCATATCAAAGTGGATGATGGGGGCAAATTGTTGGGAACCCCTGTTCTATACACATGGGATATTTTAAAATTAATATATTAAAGATTCTTTTCCAAGTGTAACTTAAACAATCAAACTCATTTCTGTTGCTTCTATGATATTTTGTCCAGTCCATTCTCCAACCGTCTTCAAGTTTACAAACCATAAGGAAAAAGAAGTCTTTTTTAGAGAGCATGAACAGAAACTTGTAGCAAACAAGCATAGTTCATTCCAGGCAATATGAGCCACGCAGATGATGCTATTTTAAAAAGCCACTAATGTAACAAATGATTTTTATTTATAAATGGAGATGTTCTCCAATTTCATCTCTACTGAAACTCATACAATTCTGATTAACCAATATTTACACAATTTATATTCAGACTATTGTCCTCATCTTTGTTGTTTTCACGTTTCAGACATTGTGCCCTCTGGTGTTCATCAGCTGTATATCAATTCAGGTAACCTACAGGAAATTCTGAACTGAACCTACAGGGCTAGACTATTCTTGTTCCACTGTCCATGCTTGGGGATGTTTCATCTAGTTCTCAGTGGAAACAGGGTGAGCAATAACTGAGCAGTACTAAAAATAAGAAGTAGATGAGATATAGCTAGACATGGGTAATGGAATGAGAACAGTCTATCCTCATAGATTAAATAAAGAACTCAGTTCAGAAATTCCCTGTAAATTTCCCAGATCAATATACACCTGATGAAGGTCAAAAAGCATAATGACTGAAAGGTTGTGATAACAACAACAAAGATGAGAACAATAGTCCAAACTTAAATAGTGTAATTAATGAATACTCCTTATCCCAGAAATTCAGACAGAAAAGGCTTATCAAGTTAATATATACTTCCCAGTTTTTAAAACTATAATAACGACTCTTCTTAAAATTATAGACAATTTCAAACAAAACTGTTTATTCAATCGACAAGGGTATAATGTTCTCCTTTTACTTTCAGCTTCATGGACTGAATAAAAGTTTTGGTTTGAAGTTTCTAGAAGTTTTTCTTTTTTTTAAAGGCAAGAAGTGAAGTTCATTGGGTTAGGTGGGAAAGACAATGGTTAACCCTAGATTTGAAGAGGTCAAGATTTTCATGTTTGGGAAAACATCCTACCATAAAGCATCAATTCTAGGGTAGAAGCTGTCCAAGTGAAACTTACTTCATACTAATGGAATACAAAGTGAATGAGGATGAGGATGATTCATCTTGTGTACAAGTCATGGCGTGTCAAAGTTGCAGAGCTCAGGGCTGGTGAGAGCAAGGAATATAGCTGGTCAGAACACATGCTATGGAAATAGCGAGAGGCTCACAATGTAAAAATTTTTGAGAGGAAGCTAATAATAATTTAGTGATACAAGTCTTACTAATTAACCCATAGCTAAGTTTCATAGTTGCATTCTCATATCCTGCTAATGGCAGGATAAGACAACTTTGTCTTCTCTTGCCATTAGCATGATATGAGAATGCAACTATGAAATTCAAACAAATTTAAATTCAGGGATCAGTGTCAGCTTCAGTGGCAGGATAAACCTTTTGTACAGTGAATGAAGTCACCTGCAGCATGATAAAGGTTAATTCATGTAGTTGAAGTTATAAAACAATTAAAGATAATTTAAAGGAGGTAATTATGGATGAGCATAGTGGTTATCAGTCTATGTGATTGGCATGCTGCAAACAAAATCCAGTCAAAGCCATTTGCATTCTCTTTAATAGAAATATCCTTGAGAAATGTATGAATCCATCTCCACACCTCAGATATAGATTAATTGCAAGGCAAACTGGACTCTCTAGCCTTGGTTAGCAGCCAGTCTAGGACAACTCTGAATTCAAAATAATGTGGCAAGTGGGGCTATCAACACCACACCATAAAAAAAAGGTGTGCTATAGAAACTGCAGCAACAACACCAAGTGTGATGGTGGCTCTATACTCCACATGGGTATCTACAGGTTTAAAGAAAAAAGGGAGTTATTTTGTTTTTGTTAAACAGATATCATTTGAAGAGCTAAACTTAACAATAGCCAAAACAAAAACAAAAAAATAGGTGACTTTTTCAGGAGAAGGGAAGGGGTTAATTTTCTTTAAAAAATTTACAGTAAAATCTCATGTATCTTTTTTTAGTGTCAAAATCAATTTTTACATAAAAAAATACTGAATTACGTCTCTTCTTAATAATTTCACCCCAAACAAGGCAATAAAGCCACTAAGACACACGCGGTTACTGATTGAGAGAATATAAGAAAAAAAAGAAAAAAAAAAGAGAGAGAAAAAGAAAAAAGAAAAAAAAGAGAGAGAACAATAAAAGAACAGGAATTAAGAGGACAGAAGATAATGATTGACATTACATTTAAATTTTTGAAAATCAACGTTGACTGGGAAGCAAGAAGCTGGAAAAGAGTTACACAACAAGAAGTGCGATAGAAGAAAATGTTAGCATAGTTATACAGTTATATCTATTTCAACTGTAAAATGATTGCACCTTGCCTCCAATCTAGCATTGCGCTTAAATTCATAAAGGTACCATAGAGGAAAGTTTATTAGAACAATTACCATGAAAATATTTATAGAAAAGGCACAGGCAAGCTATGTTACAGCACTGGGAAAGGGACTTACTCATATTCTGAGACCCATTTTGTAATATAAAAATAAATAATTGGAATAACCCAGTGGATTAAATTATAGATTTGTGAATTTGGTAATATAATAATTATGAGTTCAATTCCTGGACAGGACAGTACAGATTTTGACTCAGTGAAAAAATGGGCAAACAATAACTGAGGAGAACTAAAAAAAAGAATAAGATGGTACATCACTAAACTTGTTCAGTGGAACAAGAACAATCTATTTTAAATAAAGGGTTCAGAGGAGTTTCCTAAAGGTTGTTCAGATTGACAGAAACCTGAAAAAGGCTGGAGGGTACAACTAATCATTTTTTTTTTTTTTTTCCCCTATTTCAAAAACACATTCTTTTGCTGTTCATTTGTACTTATTTTCTAGAATTAGACCTATAGACTTTTTTCACATTTTCTTTGTGCCATGTCCCCTTAGGACAGAGGTGATCATGTCTCTCCTCAATTTTCTGCCTCTTATAGTTCTTAAACTTTTTCTTTCTGTTATTTCTCCTAAGCCCTGTTCTGACATCCATTTACTCAAACTCACTATGTTATGCGTTGTTTTCCTCTCTTTTGCCCTCTATCTGTAATGTATCAGATTTTCAAAACCCTCTTTCCTCATTATATGCTCCAGAAACCTCAATTTTTATTATACAAGAACAAGAATCTAAATTCTTGTTTTAAGAAGCTTCATGGCTTAAAAAAACAAAAAAAAAACAAAAAAAAAACGAACAGGCGATACATAGAGCTAAACAAACACCATATTTATTCAGTGGGCCCACGTTGCAATTGAATATGACACAAGGTCAGTTTAATGCGGATTTATCCCCAATAACTTGGAAAAATGCTCAAGCCCCCTCGGTACTTCTCTGTCTTGGGGATGCCGGGTAATGATGCCAAGGGCTTGAGCTATTTTTTTTTTTTTTTTTACCTGGCAGAAGCCAGGGTATTGGTAAGTATGCATAAATCATTATGTATACTTAATTCTGCCGGGTAAAAAAAATAATAGCTCAAGCCCATGGCATCCCTACAGAAGGGCTTTTTGGCATAAGTCATCGACACTTTATTTTTTTATATTTGGAGTCGGGTTAGTTGTGGAGAAACTGGGAGGAAATAAAACATTTAAAAAAACTCTTTTTTTTTTTTACCTTCTGAAATGTCATCGAAATTTACTTGTTGATCAGACTCATTTGAAAACATCCGACCATTTCTGTGCATCTCGTTAATATTCTTCTGCGATAATAATATCCTATTTTTAATGCTGCCATAACGTTGATTCTTGAAATGATCAAAGGATCGTCGTAAAGGTCTGTAGAGTCTTTGAGGAGAGCTGACACAGAAATAATGGCACGATTGGCGTAACAAACCCGGTTTGGGATATTTGCTAAGAAAATGAAAATAATTCATTATGAAGATACATAATTTCTTGTTCAATAATTACCGGTTTGATAATAATATTTTTAAATGACGTCAGTAAAACAAACAATGTTGGACCGGTCGTAAAAATAAAACAACTTTTTTTTTTTGAGAAAGCAAACAAGGAAAAAAACTGGAAAAGTATAAACAAATTAACTCCTCAGTGAACGACATGTGTGGCAGACTGAAGAATACCTCGTACGAAAAAGCAGATATTTACAAACTAAATGATATATAAACAAAACGATAGTTTTTACAACAGGAATTAAATAGAATGTTTTTGTGTCACACGTGAAAATTGGCCATGGTGGTCTGAATAAACAAGGGAGATAACTGCGTAATACAAAAGCGTTATTTCCCTTTAGCTATTGCCAATGCAGATCGTTTATTTGAAGGGCAAGTTCAAGTAACAACGTCTTTGTCAGGAAAGTTAAAACTGTTTTGTGTTTTATAAATTCAGTTCAAAGCAGGGGTCGGCAACCTTTTGGAGAGAGCGGGCCAGAAACCTATGCAGTGTCTCGGAAGAGGGCCATGATATCAAATGTATTATAGGAAATTGTCTCGAACTCAGATTGCCCTATCTAGACAAGGTTGCCTTTAACTTTTTCTTTAAATCTAGACTTAAATTTTAAGTCTAGATTTAAAGGAAAACAATTGCTATATTAAACAAAGTTCTTTATTTTACTGAAGAAGCAACAGGTAACAACTGACACGATCAACAAAAAAATGCAAATTCCTTACTACAAACGAAATGCACTTAGAAATGGCAAATTATTTATTTTAATGAGATTGTGGACTCGTCCATTTACCTTATTACCCCTAGCAATAGGAACATTCCATTTTACACGCTTACGTGAATCAACTTAACCAATCAAAAACCTTACTGTGCTAAGCAGCGATTTCTATTGGCTCGCAATGTGATAATTCAAAAACTTCCTGTGAGGAAGTTAAATTGTGCCAAAACTTATTCGAGCCAATCATGACATCTAAAACCTTATATAAGGAAGATTTCCAACTGACCAAATCAGTCGCTCAAGTCTTGACCAACTGTTCGGTTGAACTCTCTTCCTTCGGGTGGGGAGGGACCCGAACGAGGCTACGCCGAGGGGCATAGCCTCGTTTGGGGAAGTAAACCGGCTCTGAGCCTGTTTATACGGGTTCAATGGACATATTTTGGGGCTGAGCCCACGGGCTCCGAGAACCCACAATAAATAACCGACCTTGTGTCACATGCTGCCCCAGTGGGGCGAGGGGGACTGAATATTGTCAGTTGTTCAAGTCTTGACCGGCTGATCGGTTGAACTCTCTGCCTTCGGGCGGGGGGGAACTCGAAAGAGGCTATGCCGGATTCTCTTTCGGGGAGGTAAACCGACCCTGAACCCGTTTATACGGGTTCAATGGGTATATTTTTGGCCGAGCCCACGGGCTCAGAGATCCCATGTTAAACCAGCCTTGTGCCACATGACGCCCTCGTGGGGGTGGTGGGGTGACTGAATATCGTCAGTCCAGCGAACACAGAGAAGCGCTAATCTAATCCATGTAACTTGCAATTATAATTTTCCCGCGAGAAAAAACTACAACTGACTCACCCACAAACTCAACTCAAAGATTACTCTGTGAATGCAAAGAACTTCAACTCGCAAGACTTTACTTATCCAAAGTGAATTATTAACGCTCACTACAAGTAAATACTATTATTGAACATATTTCATACTTACAGTTAAGTGTAGACTACTTCTGAATGACTCAATTCTAAACAATACAAAAAGAACAACACAAACATAATAACAGTGTTTAAACACTAATTACGAATTCTTATAGACTGTAATACAAATACACCAAGACACCAAAAAACAAACAAAATCTTCATCCACCAAGAAACATAACAACACAATAATATCTTGTAATAATATTTTGTACATGATATTTGTATTGTATACAAATGCATTTGTTTGTTTGAATTGCATACATGATTTGCCTTGTTTTATATTAAGTATTATTTATTGTTGTGGATGCAAGAGAAGATCATGCAACATGACAAAAATTCCTTCTGATATATTCTAACACCATAGCAAAAAATCTTAGTTCATTCTGTGCATCCCCAACAAGATACCTGTTTCTGCTTATTGTTTGATAACTTCTCTGCATCAGGTGAAATATTTGTTGATGACAGGGGCAAAATATCATCCAGGTGGTTATCACCCAAACTTGTTCATAAACGACTTTTAGTATATTTCATTTTCGAAAAAAGATTATTCACAAGCATATATGGTGCGATGGGTAAATTGTCACCATTTCATATTTTTAATTTTGCGCATGTGTGTTTTCTTTTTTGTCAACTGCACAGTATAGTAGGGTCAGTTGGGCACCATCTGTGAGAAAAAGAGCACCTTGACGCAATTCACTCCACCAAAAATTAAGAAACATCATGCTGTACTGCTTGGCATTCATGCTGGAAGCTCCAATACAAGCATTTCATTGTTTGGGTGTCATTCTGAGGACAGTGCAGAGGATGTAGAAAGATTTGGATAAGTCTAGTGATGTATGCATTGTTATGAAATGAACTCTTCCTCTATTTGTATGTAAATTTATTGTATGCAAATGAACATACATTTTCTTTTATAAATTCTGCTGCATTTTAGGGAGGGGGGATTATGTGGAGAGACACTGAGTGTCGATGGCTGTTTCTTTTGTTGAATAAAGCCTTTCTTAAGGCTATTGCCATTTGTCTTCCTGCTGTTTTGAATTGCTTTTAAATTCATAACAATTATGAAGGTGTTTGGAGTGATTACTGGTGAAGGTGACATTATGCCTCCATTCATCTTCCCACAGGGCCTCAGACTGAACACGGAAGTACCTTGAGGAGGTAGTACTACTCTGGGTCAAGTGGGTAGCTGCTGGAAGACCCTATGTCTGGCAACAGGACTCTGCACCATGCCACACATGTAGGAGAACCCAGTCATGGCTGTCAGACAATTTCTGCAACCACATCACCCTTTACATCTGGCCACCTAACTCCCCAGACTGCAACCTGATTGATTATTATATGTGGGGTGCAGTTGAGCAAAAGACCAAGAAAACTTCTTATAGCACCAAAGATGAACTGAAGGCAAGGATTATGGAAGCATTCACCAACTTAATCAAGGAGACTGTTCAGAAGAGTTGCAGATCCTGAATTCATCCGGAGGCCTTGGTTGAAGCCAATGGTGATGTTATTGAATAAATTTACTCTTTAGTATTTCAAGATAATTTTTTTGTAATTTTGGTAAATATATCTGTTAAAATGAGACGTCAGTGTTATTTTCATTTAGACGACAATTTATCCATCACACCCTGTAGCTTAATAATTACCTTTTGACCAGATCATGAAAAACAAAACAATTTCTAGCAGTAAAACCAGATTTTATCCTTGAGTTATAACCTACTTCTATAAGCAAGTGGAGATAACGTGTAGGTTAGGGGGAGGTGCACAGTTCAGAGTCTGTCTTGCCTGTCTGTTCTCCTTGATCCACTACATCCCTTCAGTGTACCTTTTCACAAGATGATCAATTTTATAGATAACAATCTCCTTTGTTTTGTCATCTTCATCTAAAAAATAATTTATCTTCCTTCCATGACTTTCTCTTTGTCTGAGCCTCTTGCTCTGTACTTTGAAGTTGACTTCACTGTCCCACTGTTTTTAATTTAACAAGACCTCAGCTGACTCATATTGCTACAAGAGTCCTTTGTTGGTTTGGTAAAATTATCAGACATGCCTGTGTGTAGTCAGGTAAGCTTAAAATATTTGTAGGCTGTGGACTTTCCATATTGTATTCAATGCGATGTTTTGTGTTGGACTAGCAACTTCTTGTGTTTTAGGTGCAGCTTCTTCAGTGATTGCTGTGGTATCATACAGAAAAGGTGACCCCATTGTCAAAAAATCAAGTATAATGAAAACAGTAGATTCCAGTTAATTCATGTGCTTTCCCAGTGAGACAAGATGCCAGATACTAGATTTTGGTAATGGGGAATGCAAAGAATATCAAATAGGATTACTCCTTGAGGTGCACACCAGGTTGGACTGACCAGTTGACAAAGCAGTTCTTCTTTCATAGAAAAACTCCTCCTTCCCGCCAGCTTGATTAACACATCGACTACCAATCATGCGATAACTTGTGGTTGCCACTCTTTATTATGAAACCAACTATCTTGTGCTTGGCATTTTCTGATACATTGTCATCTGTGGGTGCCAACAAGTTTATTTGCAGTCATACTTTTAGTGTGAAAACAAAGTTAAGACTTCAGTTGAAGCTATAAATCAATTAAAAATATTTTTTTATTGTCATTACTAGCAGCATGGCCCGGTGTTGCCTGTGCTTGATTCAAAAATCGTACGACTCATACAGCAATCGCTATCACTTGACTTAAAATATTTTTGCCCTTCCTTGCCTTTAAAGGTGTGTCCTTTGCCATGCTGATGTTGCTACATGCCTTACTTCTCACACTGCAAATTTTTTCTAAGCTCTATACTAAACATTAAATCTGTTACTTAAAAAAGAACTAAACAAAATGAACACAAAACGATCAGCTTTAAAAAAGGACTCTCGTAACTGGAAAAACCCGAATGAAAAAAAAGAATGTTAACAACAAATATTTTTTCACACCAAACCCAGTTCTGTGGAATCAGAATCAACGTTGAGTTTAAGCAAGCAAATGAGCCAATTGGAGTAAAGTGCCATGCAGATTTAAGTTTTTCCCACTTGTGACGAATGCAGCTATCGATTTTTTTTGCATGCTAGTTAACATTCGTGTCAGTCAGCTGTTGGCTCTCACGCTGGCCAATAGAATCTTCCTGCCTATTTGTGGCAGCCAGCTATAGGCTTTCACTCTGGCCAGTAGAAAATGGCCGCAAACTACATAAAAATTGCCGTAGAAGCATGAAAAAAATCAATAATTTCCACTATCAATGGGAGTTGGGAAATGCAAAGT